AAATCTCCATACTGATTTCCACAGTGATTGTACTAGTTTACACCCCCCAACAACAGGGTAGAAGTGTTCCACCCACCACATCTCATCAGCACTCATACTTTTTTTTGGTTATTTGAGGCAGGGTCTCCCTTTGTAGTTCAGGCTGGCCCTGAACTCACTATGTAGCCCAGGCTGGCCTCGAACTTGCGGCAATCCTCCTGCCTCAGCCTCCCGAGTGCTGGGATTACAGGCGTGGGCCACCATGCCCTGGTAGCATTCATTGTTTTTTGGGGGGTTTTTTTTGGTACCGGGGATTGAACTCAGATCCTTACGCTTGTGAGGCAGGTGCTGGAACCACTGAGCTAAATCCCCGGGCCCCGAATTCATTGTTTTTTGAGGTCATGATCACGGCCATTCTTTCCGGAGTAAGATGGAATCTCAGCATTGTTTGGATTTGGATTTCTCTAATGGCTAAAGATGCCGCACATTTTTTCAAGTGTTTATTGTCCATTTTTACTTCTTCTGAGAAAGGTCTATTCATTTCAGTTGTCCTTTTTAAATTGTGTCTTTTATTTGGGGCATCTAATTGCTTGAGTTCTTTATATATCCTGGGTATTAGTCCTCTGAGGAGCGGCTGGCAAACCCCCCCCCCATGCTATAGCTTGCCTCTTCACTGTTTTGTTTCCTTTGCTGTACAGAAGCTTTTAAATTTGATATGACCCTATTTGAAGATTCTTTGCATTATTTCTTGTGCAACTGGATTCTGTCAGAAAGTCCTTTCCTATGCCTATGTCTTCAAGTGCTTTACCTAATTTACCTTCCAGTAGATTCTAGGTCTTTGATCCATGTTGATTTTATTTTGGTGTAGGGTAGGAGATACGGGCTAGATCCGTTCTTCTGTGTCGGGAGCAATGCTACATAATTTTAGGGTAAAATCATTTGGTTAGCCTAGTTCTCTTGCCTACAGCCCAGCTACAGAATAACTCCAGTTTGGCCTCCGGTCACAACTGAGACTTCAGTGATCCAGTGATGCTGTGATTCTCCAGGACAAGAAACATCCTGGGAGAACAAACATCTGCTCAGTTCCTCATTGTTCTTGGACTGTTAACATCTTGTTTACCCAGGATGTACTGAACTCTCTGCAAGCCTTTTGTTACCCCTTGTTCATCCCAATGTGAACTATTGAACTCTATATTTCATTTGTTACATTTGTTTCTCCCGAGGTACTGAATAAAAGGTGCAGTAAGCTGGGGGCTTGTGTCTCCGCTGCCCAGAGCAGCACTGATCAAACCCAAAGCTCAGCTTCTTCTCAGTCTCATTTGTCTACCTTTCCTGTAATTTGCCTTATGCTGCCGTGGCTCGCAGCGGACTAGAACTTACTGCAGAAGTTCTGGTAACGTCCCCTTTCCCCGTTCCCTACACTTCTGCATGTGGATAATCACCTTCCCAGCAACACTTGCTTAAAGAGGTTTTCTTTTCTCCAGCGTGTTTTTGCCCCTTTGTCGAAGATCAGATGGCTGAATATGCCTGGGGTCGTTTCTGCTCTCTGTTCCTCTCATTGATCTGCGACTCTTTTTGTGCCAGTACCATGCTGTTTCATCACTGTTGCTTTTGAGTATCACTGGAAATCTGCGATTGCAATGCTTGCTGTTTTTCTCTTGTTACCCAGGATTGCTTTTGCTATTCTGGGTCTCTCCTGGTTAGATGTGAATTTTAGAATTTTTTTAGTTTTGTGAAGAATGCTGTTGGTATTTTGATTGGGACTACATTAAAGCTGTATATCACTTTTGGGAGTATGGCCATTTTTTGTTTGTTTGTTTGTTTGTTTGGAGACAGGGTCTCACTAGGAAGTTCAGCCAGTCCTTAACTCCATATGTAGCCCAGGCTGGCCTCAAACTCAGAGTGATCCTACTGCCTCAGCCTCCTGAGTGCTAGGATTATAGCCGTGTGAGATTATGTCTGGCATTATGGCCATTTTGACGAGTTGGTTCTGCCTATCCAGAAACGGGATGTTTTTTCATTTTCTGGGGGCCTCGTCAATCTTTTTAAATTTTTTTTTTGGTACCAGGAATCGAACTCAGGGCCTTGTGCTTACCAGACAGGCACTGTGCTGTTGAGCTGCATCCCCAGCCCTCAGTCTTCTTTTAAAAATAGTTTTCACTATAGAGATCTTTCGCTTCCTTGGTTAGGTTAACTTCTAAGTAATTTTTTTTGAAGCTACTGTAAACAGGATTGTTTTCCTAATTTCTCACTGAGGAAACTGGTGGACAGGAACACCATTGATTTTTCTGTGTTGATTTTGTGTCCTGGGACTCTGCTGAGTTTATCAGTTCTATCAATATTTTGGTGGAGTTTTTTTTGTCTTTGATATAAAGGGTCTCGTCATCTGTGAATAGACAAGTTTGACTTCTTCCTTTACTACACGGATCCCTCTGGGTTTTTCTCTTATCTGATTGGTCTGCTGAAGGTTTTGTGTACTGTGAACAGGCGTGGTGAGATTGACTTGTTCCGGATTTAGGGGGAAAGCTTTCAAGTTTCCCCCGTTTAGTGTGCTGTTGGCAGCGGGTCTGCCATAAATGTCTCTTATTACTTTGAGATAAAATCCTTCTGTACCCATTTTCACCAGGGTTGGTTGTTTTTTTTTTAAAATCATGAATGGATGTTGGATTTTGTCAAAGGCTTTTCTGTGTGTATTGAGATAATCATGTGTTTTCTTCTCTCTTTTTGGGGGGGGGAGGGTGAGACGGGTCTGGCTTTGTAGTTCAGGCTGGCCCTGAACTCACTATGTAGCTCAGGCTGGTCTCAAAATGCAGCGATCCTCCTGCCTTAGCCTCCAGAGTGCTGGGATTATAGGCCTGTGCCACCAGGCGGAGCTCTTGTCTTTGTTTATATGATGTTCTATATTTATTGACTTAAGCATGTTGAACCATCTTTTTTTTTTTTTCTGGTACCTGGGATGGAACTCAGGACCTTGGACTTGTGAGGCAGGTTTGGCACCACTGAGCTAAATCCCTGGCCCTGAACTATCCTTTCATTGGTGAGATGAGGCCTATGTGGTCATGATGTATGATCTTTCTAATGATTTGTTACATTGCTTGCCAGTATTTTGCTAAAGATTTTGTTTGTTTGTTTATTGAGACACAGTCTAGCTCTGTAGGTCAGGCTGGCCTTGAACTCAGAACTCATGCCATTGTCCTGCCTCTGCCTCCTGAGCACTGGGATGACAGGGTGCACCACTCTGCCTGGTGAGTTTGAACAATCTTTTTTTTTTTTTTTTCTTTTTCTGGTACCGGGGATCGAACTCGGGACCTTGAGTTTGTGAGGCAGGTGCTGGAACCACTGAGCTAAATCCCTGGCCCTGAACAATCTTAGTATTAGATTTTCCCTAAAGTTCTGCAGTGAATCCATTGCAGTCCTGGGCTTCCTTCCATTGGTGAAGTTTTTATTACTGCTTCTATGTTAGTGCCTTTTATTGGTCTATTCAGAGTTTTTGTATCTCTTTGGCTAAGTTTTGGTTATTCACATGTGCCTAGGAATTTCTCCATTTCTTTTAGATTCTCCAATTTATTTATTTATTTTTTATTTACTTTGGTACCAGGGATCAAACTCGGGTCCTTGCGCTTTTGAGGCAGGCAGCAGAACCACTGAGCTAAATCCCCAGCCTTCTCCGATTTATTGAAATGTAAGTTTTCAAGTAGTTTTTTATCATCCTATGGCTTTTGACTGTGTCTGTTATGATTTTGTCTTTTTCATTTTTAATTGCATTGAGATGTTTTTTCTTTCCCTTTTTTGGTAAATTTGGCTAAGGATTTAATCAATCTCGTTTGTCCTTTCCAAGAACCAACTCTGATTCCTTGATCATGTGTATTTATTATTTTTTTTACTCTCTATTCCATTAATTTCCACTCTGATCTTTTTATTTCCTTTTATTAATTTCAAATGTGGATTGCTGTTGTTTTTCTTGGACTTTGAGATACGTTAGGTTATTTGAGCTTGCTCAATTCTGTTTAATGTGTACATTCACACTTACAAACTTCCCTCTTAGAACTACTTTCATTGAGTTCCATAGGTTCTGCCATTTTGTGCTTTCACTGTTATTTGATTCTAGAAAGTTTTTAATTTCCTGCTTTATTCTGTGATCCATTGATTATTCCATAATGTATTATTTAATCTTCATGTGTTTGTATAATTTTTGTTTGTTTGTTACCGGGGATCAAACTCAGGACCTTGTGCTTGCAAGGCAGGTGCTGTGCCACTGAGCTAAATCCTCAGCCCTGTTTGCTTGTTTTCTGAGACAGTCTCATTATGTAGTTCAGGCTGTCCTTGAGTTCACTATGTAGCCCACCTGGCCTTGAACTTGCAGTGATTCTCTTGCCCTGGCCTCCTGAGTGCTGGGATCACAGGCATGCACCACCATGCCAGGCTAGCCATTTGACTTTCAGGATTTTTCTTTGAAAAAGAAAGAACAGCCAGGTGGGACTGATGGGGAGAGATGTAGAAACATTATGGTAGGGGTGTTTTTCTTTCTTTCTTTCTCTTTTTCTTCCTTCCTTCCTTCCTTCCTTCCTTCCTTCCTTCCTTCCTTCTTTTCTTTTCTTTTCTAGTACTGGGGATTGAACTCAGGATCTTGTGCTTGCCATGCAGGCACAGCGCCAGTGAGCTAAATCCCCGGTCCTATATTTCTGTGAGGAAGCAGTTAGCATGGCACTATAATAAGACTTTGTCCTAATTGTCTGAATGGTCTAATTGGCTAAACTGTCACCTGCTAAGCTAGCGTAGCAGTCCTGACCATGGCTGTTCTCAGTGTTTTGTGGCCCAGTCTGATTCTTCTCTTGCACTCAGATTTGTGGAGAAGACTGCAGGCAGGGCTAGAGGCAAATGGCTTTTTAAAAATTTGATAAAAACTGGTGTGGCAAAAACTTCCGTTGCTTGGTTGAAAACTAAGTTTGTTTTACTATCTTCCTTTAAAACTGTTGTCTTTTGAAATTTTATGAAAGGATAACTTTTTTTTTTTGTACCAGAGATCGAACTCGGGGACCCTGCACTTGCAAGGCAGGCTGTGGAACTACTGAGCTAACTCCCCAGCCCAAAAGGATGACTTCTAACAAAATGACTGGGTTAGAGGCTTTGAGATGTTGGCCATCACCTAAGAGAACAGGTAAGATTGAAGTTGATAGAGACTGAAGGTAAACTTAGCCCAAGAGCTGCTCCTTCTACCTCCTTGCTGCTCAGAGGTGGCTGGGGGCACATGGACTCTGAGTCCCTAGTCTCTTCCCCTCCAATTCAGGGTCAGATAAGACCAACAACCACTGGTGCACACCTATTATCCCACCACTCAGGGAGGCTGAATCAGGAGGATTGCAAGTTGGACCCCAGTATGGGCAACTTAGAGAGACCTTGTCTCAAAATTTTAAAAGAGGCTGGGGACAGAACTCAGTGTAAAGGCCCTGGGTTCCATACCAGCAAGGAAAAACGAAAACCAAAACAACACAAAAGTAAATGCAGAGGCCGAGGACTTAGCTCAGTGGTTTTGTCACCTGCTGCGCAAGTGCAGGGACCCAAGTTTGATCCCTGATACAAAAAAAAAAGTAAATGCAGGGGCCGGGGATTTAGCTCAGTGGTACCAGTGCCTGCCTGGTACAAGGTCCTGAGTTTGATCGCTTGTACAGAAAAAAAAAAAAGTAGGCATTGCTGATTGCAGGAGAATTGTAAAAATCAAGATGGAGAAGGGGCCAGGGATTTAGCTCAGAGGTTTTGCCGCCTGCTGTGCAAGCTCAAGGACCCGAGTCCCCAGTACAAAAAAAAAAAAGATGGAGTCGCTTGTGTCAACACTGGCAAAAGTCAAGAGAGCCAGGGTCTGCAGAGGAAGTTCCTGTGCAGCAGTGCCTGAGAAGACGGTGCAAAGAGCTCGGCCTCGCCAGAGTCTGTCACGCTGGCCTGAGCCGCACCGCTTGCCTGGCGTTGGCGACCCAGGCCTGCAGTCCTTCCCAGGGCAGGCGACCAGGTGTGAGCTCTCGTGGGGAGCCCTTCCCCTGGGAGAAAGTGCTTTTGTGTCTCCCTGAGCCACGGTTGGGGATGGACAGTCCCCGCAGGGGTGAGCAGCTGGGCGGGACAGGAGCTGGTGGCGCCCCTGCCCGTGCAGGGCAGTTGATAGCCGACGGTCTAAACCACGGGGAGGGCAGGGCTGCAGACGGAGCTAGAAAAGGCAGGCGTCCCCAGCCTGCCCACGGTCCTGGGACTACCTAGTGTGGGCGGGAGGAAGCCTGGTGCCTCGGGGAGGTCCCTAGTGCGGGAGGAACCTCCAGGTGTTGTGAAACAGAAATCCAAGGCCCGGGGTGGGGTCCCTCCCTAGGAGTGCCAGGCCACACAGGCTGTCACCGCTGTTCACAGCTGCACTGAGGACACCACCCGCTGGGGCTGCAGGGACCGAGCTGGGGGCAGGTGGAAGCCGCCTCCTACTGGCCGGCGGCGGTAGTGCAGGCTGCGGGAGAGACCCTCCGCCGTGCGTGTCCCACTGTCAGCTTGCCGGACAGGATGCGCCTGCGGCCTTCTGGGTGCCACCAACTGTCTTCCAACTGGACCTCAAGCCTGCTCCAGGGGAGGGGGCCCGGGCCTGGGACTGTGAGGGCGTCACCTGAGGGCTGAGAAGCCCCTCGCAGCCCAGCAGGGAGGCCCCTGCTATTTTGTGACCGACTGTGACGTTTGTCTGTACCCCGATTCCTGCTGCTGCCAGTCACATCCTGAGGTTATGTGGGGAACCTGTCCTCTCCGTTCAAGTGAGCCTGCCCTGGAACGCGCTGCCCTTGGGGCTGACGTGGGAGCCTCATGGGGGCCCGGACGGACGAGACCTTCCTTTCTGTAACCTAAGTGGAAGGGACTCATGACCGTGTCAGGTGAGCACTGAACTGGGGACGCGCACTTCTGTTGGTGTTTGTGCCGCTTCAGGAGTGAGCGTCGGAGTGTGTCAGAGCCCGCGCGGCTGGACGGGCTCACTGCGACCTCGGGGCTCCTGGGTGGGACGGAGCGGAGCCGCATAGCCTCCTGGACGCACACATTGCGGGCCCTGCCCCTGGCATTTGAATTAAATCCACAGGCCGGAAACTGGCAGGCACCGCAGCCTGCCAGCCTGCTGCTCTGTGAGTGCCCCTGATAACTCAGCCCCTGGCCCAGCTCGACTTGTGTGGGTGGCTTTGTCTGTGGCCCCCCTCAGCTCCGAGCCAGGCGTTTCTTCTGTGTCTCCCTGGGAAATTCAGAGAGCAGGGCCACTTGGGGCCTCTAGAAAACGCCATTACCCGAGACCTCCTGAACCTGACCTCCCACGGTCCTGGCTCCCGGGGGAAGTTTTCTAGGGTGCATGTTTGCCTCTAACCATGCGGACTGACGGGGAGCAGCCCCTGGCCGGCCCAGCGTCGTCACAGAGCTGGGGACAGGAGCTCCCGTGCTGTCTGTCACCCCTGCATGTCCTCCCGTGTGGTGCTGGGCGCAGTTTACAACACCTTTGCTCTCTGCCCATGGAGGTCATCACAGCTTTTCCTTTGGAGCACTTTTTAAGGACAACTTGAATCTGTGTTCCCTCCAGTGGTCACTCATAGCTGGGTCAAACTTTCTTTTGCCCAGAGTCATCATTGTTGGTGGCTATACTTCCTTTCCAAACTCACTGTGTTTTTGAACAAGTCTTAAAATTATCCTCGACCGGCTGGGGATTTAGCTCAGCGGCGCCGCGTTGGCCTCGAAAGTGCAAGGTCCTGAGTTTGATACCCGGTACCAAAAAAAAAGAAAAATTATCCCCGAGGTTTCATGGCTTATGATGGCCCACATTTTTCATAATTTAAATTACGAATACATAAGTTATGATCATTTCTTTTAGGATGACTTCCTAGGACTAAAGTTGAGTTTTTCAAACTCTCCAATTCTCCCGGTTCACGCCGCAGGCGCTCGGGATGGAATTCTAGTTTATAGCGGTAGAGCCCCTTATCCCTGCTCTGTGATTTTCCTGCGGAAGTTGCTGAGCGCGAAAAAACTTCCAGACCTTTTCCGTAAACGTTGTTCATCTACGCAAGGGGGCGTGGCTTCACATTCCTACGCAATTGGTCAGCAGCCCTCCCCCGCTTGCGCACACGCTGCTTCCGGCTCCCCGCGCTCGCAGGGCTTTCTGGGAGTTGTAGTCAGCCTCCTGCCAGAGCTCGGCTCCGGGAAGCTCCGGAGGTCCGAGGCTGCCGCCGTCCTCCGCCCTCGGCCGGGAGCATGGAGTCCGCGCCCGGGCCAGACGCGGCGCCACTGGCCGGCCTGGCCTGGTCGTCGGCCTCGGCGCCCCCGCCGCGGGGATTCAGCGCGGTGAGCCGCGGCGCGGGGCGGACGGGCGGACGGGCGGGCGGGGCTGGGCTGACCGCGGCCTTCCCGCAGATCTCCTGCACCGTGGAGGGCGGGCCCGCCAGCTTTGGCAAGAGCTTCGCGCAGAAGTCCGGCTACTTCCTGTGCCTCAGCGCCCTGGGCAGCCTCCAGGTAGCGCCCGCGCCCCCGACGCCCCGCGCCCCCTGACGCCCCACGCCCCCTGACGCCCCGCGGCCTTCAGAACCCTCAGGACAGCGTGGTGGCCGACGTCCAGGTCGTGGTGGACAAGAGCGCCCTGCCGCCCGGCTTCTCCCCGGTCTGCGACCCCCTGGACTCCAGTACGGCTGGCAGCGGGCGGGCCGGGAGGGGGGCGCCGGCTCTGACCGCGCCGCGGAGGCCGAGGCCCGGAGCCCGAGCTCGCCGCCTCTTCCTGCAGCCTGGCGAGAGCGCGGAGCGGGGCTTTCATTGCGGGCCTTCTCTGCGGCCCCTTCCTGTCCTGAGCTTTGGCTGCAGCTTCCCTCCTGCCTTCGCTTCTCTGATCCCACAGCCCGGGTGGCTTCCCCGCCTGGCCTGAAGCTTCCGCCGCTTCTTGTCATTTGCATTTGGTTCTCCGGGGCTTTTCATTGATACCGGAGTTGGCCGACTTTACGTAATGGGCCAGATCGTCCGTTTTTCAGACTTCGCAGGTCAGGTGATATCTGTAGCATATTATTATCTTTGTTGTTGTTGTTGTTTGAGATAGGGTCCAACTATGTATCCCAGGGTGGCCTCGAACTCGCAGCAATCTTCCAGCTTCAGCCTCCTGAGTGCTGGGACTACAGGCGAGTGTCACCCTCGCCAGCCAGCATAATATTGTCTTTCCTTACGACGTCTTTTTCAGTACTGGGGGTTGAATCCGGGCCTTCACCCTGAGCCGCACCCCAGCCCTTTCTACTATGTTTTATTTGAAGATGCGGTCACTAGGTGGCCGAGCCCGGGCCCCAGCTTTCGATCCTCCTGCCCAGGCCTCCCTGCGTGCTGGGCTCACAGGTGTGCGCTTCGATGCCCTGCTTTTAAAGCTCTTAACGAATGGCACAAACCATTATTCGCTCCCTAGCTGTGCAGAAACAGGCCGGATATGGCTGTGGAGCAGTAGCTTGGTGCGCCTGGATTAGAGACCTGTGAGCGGGCTGCATGCCCACGGCGCCCCCCAGAGCCCCTCCTCCGTTCTGAGGCCAGCCTCTCCCAGTGCCCCCAGGGGCGCAGCGCGGTCCCTCCGACCGAACTACCCTTTGTGGTTGCCCCCCCCTGCTGTCCTGTGGCCGCCTGAGCTGCCCGTGGTGAGTGTCCCCTGCGGTCCCCCGGGCCCCCGCCCCGCTCCTCCTCTCACTGCCTGCCCCACTCCAGAGGCCTCTGTGTCCAAGAAGAAGCGCTTGTGTGTGAAGCTGGTGCCCCTGGGTGCTGCGGACATGGCCGTGTCTGACGTGCGGCTCAGCGGGAAGACCAAGACGGTGCCCGGGTACCTGCGAGTGGGGTAGGACACCAGCCTCCGCCCCCCCCAGGCCTCTGTCCCTGCTGCAGATGTCGGAGCCCCGACGCTCCAGCACAGCGCCCAGGGTCCCCTCTGCCCTCCCCTTCTCCAGGGACATGGGCGGCTTTGCCATCTGGTGCAAGAAGCACAAAGTCCCGAGGCCGGTGCCCACGCCCCGCGGCCTGAGCCGGGACGTGCGTGGGCTCTCCCTGGACATGGCCAGCCAGCCGAGGTGAGCCCTGGGCCGGGGGTGGGGGGGTGCGCGGTCACCAGGAGGTCACTGTCCCTGTCCACCAGCAAGGGCAGCGGCCCGGAGTGGACGCTGTCACGCCTGGGCTCCCGGGCGTCCACACTGCGGAGGAGCGAGTCCATCTATGAGGCCTCCAGTCTCTACGGCATCTCGGGTGAGCAGGGAGAGACAGGCGGGCAGAGCCGGGTGGGCCCACGCCTGTCCTCACGCCTGTGCCCGTGTCTCTCACCCCCAGCACAGACTGTTTTCCTTGTGCTGGGGATGAAACCCAGGTCCTCGGCCCGGCCTGGGGTCCCCTGGGCCGGGCCCCAACCGCCCAGTCTGATGCAGGAGGGAGTGGGGGTTGGGCGGCCCGGTGCTCAGCTCCCCCTCTGGCCTGTTTCCAGCCATGGACGGGGTCCCCTTCACGCTGCACCCCCGGTTCGAGGGCAAGAGCTGCGGCCCCGTGGTGAGTGAGCCCAAGGGGGCGGCCCTGGCCTTGGTTTGGGGGCTGGGAGGCCCCGCGCCCGTGGGAGCGTCGAGACGGGTGGCGGCGGCTGGCGGGTGCCCAGTGCGGAAGGGAGCCCAGGGGTGCAGGCCCCACCTGAGCCTCCCTGCCCGCCAGGCCCTCGCTGCCTTCGGGGACCTGACCATCAAGTCGCTGTCGGACATCGAGGAGGAGGTGGGTGCCCTGGGTGCCCCGGGTGCCCCGCCCGCCCCGCCCCCAGCGCCCTCCGTCACGCCGCGGAGCCCGGATGCCCCACCAGGGGGCGCCCATGGGCCCCCCCCCCCCCCAGTACAGCTACGCCTTCGTGGTGGAGAAGACGGCCGCCGCCCGCCTGCCCCCCAGCGTCTCCTAGCGGCCGTCCACACCTGCCCTGTGCCAGCCGGGAGCAGCCCTGCAGGAGGGGCGGGGACGGGTCTCCCTCCAGGCTGGGCCGACACCAGAGCCTTGGAGTCTCGCTGGGAAGCTCTGCCACCGCTCTGCCTGGCCGGCGGTGTCCCCGTAATAAAGAACATGACTGCCCGGGTGTGGCTGGCGTCCGCTGTGGCGTCCGTTGCTCCTGGCCCCGCCTCCGTGGCTCTGGGTCCTCATCCCACGCGGGCCGGCGAGCGAGCGAGCGAGCGAGGGAGCGAGGGACGGAGGGAGGACTCCCGTCCTGCAGAGGGAGGCCGAGGGGCAGAGTCACGGTGACTGACACAGCTGCAGCGGCTCTCGTCTGCAATCCCAGCTCCGTGGGAGGCTGAGGCAGGGGGATGGAGACCTGGGGCCCGGCCAGTAATTCAGCAGGGCCGTCTCCCCGAGAGACGGGCTGGCCTGGTGGAGCGCACGCGTCATCCCAGGACTGGGGCGCTGGGGCAGCAGGATCAACCCTAACCCTAACCCGTTCAAGACCAGCCTGGGCCACATGGAGACAAAGAACAGCCCCTGTTGGCTCAGGCGACCGTGCAGTCCGCAGTGCCGGGCCGCGCTGTCCATAGTCTTCCCTCTGGGCCGCCGCTGTGCTCACCACACCAGTCCTGTAAAGGCCGGGCGTGGGAGTGCACACCCGTCAGTCACCCCAGCACTCAGGGAGCCCAGGCCAGAGGATTGAGTGACTTCTCCTGACTTTGTCTCCAGATTTAAAACCCGAAAGAGGGCCGGGGATGTAGCTCTGTGCAAAGCCCTGGGTTGACTCCCTAACTCTGCAAAAAGACAGAAGATGCCATGGAGATGGTCTCGACAGGGTCTCGCTAAGTTGTCCAGGCTGGGCTTGAACTTGCGATCCTCCTGCTTCAGCCTCCCTTAGCTCCGGCGAAGGAGGCTTCTTCTAAAGGGCTGCACTGAGCGAGGTGGGTGGAGCAGGCCAGCAGAGGGCGGCACGGCGCCCGAGCCCGTATCTGGCGCATCTCCTCTGGGCCTCCCGGGCTTCACTGGCGCCGGCCACAAATCCGATCTGGACCTGGCCGCCAAGCAAAGGCCTTTTGTCTTCTCGTCACCCCGGGCCGCCGAACCGGCTTTGGATCGCTTCGGCGCATCTGTGTGGCCAAGCTGACCCATCCCCATGGGGCGCTCACCCTGCAGCCCCACGTCGGAGCCCACAGGGCCCTTTCCGTGCAGGGAGCCGGCATCATAGGCTGAGGGCGACCCTGAGGAATGCCCGTGCCTCAGTTTCCCTATCCTTTTTGTTTCGAGACAGGTCTTGGTGACCCTCCTGCCTCAGCCTCCGGACTTCTGAGATGACAGGCGTGCCTGGCAGGTCCCCCATCTTCCCTATGGGGTTCTGCATCGTCCCCACGCCCTGTCCTCGGGATGCAGCACAGTCTGTACCTGCCCCACCCCGCAGGTCCCGATCCTGCGTGCAGGCAGGGGTGGGCAGGGTCTCGGGCCTTCGGGCCCAGCGTCGCTGTCGCCGCAGTCAGGGCTGCGCCCTCCCCGTCCCCGAAGCTCCCGACTTCCGTCCCTCACTTGCGGCCCGCTGCCACCTGAGCACCTGCCAGGGTCCGAGGCGCCTGGCGCCCGGGCGGGCGGGGCTGTGCGGTCCGCGGCTCAGGTTCCAGGTCTCGGGGACACGGGGCGTCTGGCATTTCAGGGGCGCTGGCCTCCTGCCTGGCGGAGCGGCTGCCGTGACCTCGCTCCCTGACAGCCTGACTGATGGAGGGGTCCGAGCTCATCCGCAGCACTTTGCATGTTTTATCCGAAACGGGGCTTCCCTAAGTCGCCGAGTTGCCCCGGCTGGGCTGAACTTGCACATCCTCCTGCCTCAGCCTCCCGAGTGCTGGGATCAGAGGCGTGGCCACCCGTCCGGCTTCCCTTCTCCCTCTCCAAGGGCCCGCAGCCCCCACCGTGTCCCAGACCCGCCCCGGGGGCCAGGATTCTCGGGCGGCCCCCTCCCCTCCCTCTCCCTGTCTGTGAAGAGGGCTGTCCTGGGGGCGCCCGGTCCCGGCCTTGTGCTACGGACACGCGGTATTTGTACCCTGTGCATCCAGCTACTCCGAGGCTGGGACAGGGGGGTAGAAAGTTCAAGCTCAGCCTGGGCAACACAGTGAGACTCTGTTGCTAAATAAAAGCTACACGGGGCCCGGCGCGTTGATTGAGCCCTGGAGGGCCCGGGCTCCGCCCCCAAAGGCACCGTCGCTCTTACGTGCGGCTCTGGTCCCGCCCCGCGCGGCCCGGCAGCCCGGACGCAGCGTGATCGGGAGGGCGGGGCGGGAGTCTCGAGTGCACAGACACAGCGGGCGCCGGGGTTTATTTGTGGGTTGCGCGAGGCAGGGAGTTGCTGGGGGCTGCCGCAGCCCCGCCCAGCGGCCTGGCACGGGGTCCACGAGACGAGGGCGCCTCTCCAGGCGCCACTTGACAAACAAGGAAACTGAGGCACACGGGCTGTCAGCCAGGAGCCCGGGCCCCGCCCTCATCTGCCTGGCCTTGGCAGTGGCTCTGAGCCCCACACACCTGAGCTTCAGCTGTCAGAGTCTGAACTTTGTACCGGCCATCGGCGTCGCGGGGCTCATAGGACCCAGGTGATACTCAGAGCTGGGACCCCTGGTGGGTCACTGCCTCGCTTGGGGCCTCGGTTTCCTCATCTGTAAGACGGAGGGAGAAACTTAGAGAATCACTACCTAATCCCTAGCCTCCCCTTTTGCCTATTACAGAACCTTACTCATTCTGGATGGCCATGTTTCCCAGCCTCCTTTGCATTGAGGTCTAGTGAGGAGGTAAAGGCTGGAGCCCTGGCAGCCATTTTGCACCATGAGGCAATGTTACGAACAAACCCCAGGGATGCTGTGAGCTGTGGGCTGTATCAGGTTCCTATCAGTCTCTACGTAGCTTCTCGACGGTCCCTGGGCTCACACCAGTGTGGAGTCCTTTCCTGTCCCCTCAGGCCCATGTCCCAGCATGCTGTGCATCTCATGTGCGACCCCGTCCCAGTGCCCCATGTCAGCTGGCAGTGTTCGGGGCACGCGGGGTGTGGGCAGGCTGCTGTCCCAGCGGCCCCCAAGGGCTGCAGGCACGGTGGCTGTGGCCATGGGCCTCAGGGGGTCTCCCGGCTCTGGGCAGGATGAACAGGGGGTCCGAGGGTGGGTACCCTGCTGGGGCTGCTCACCAGGGCCAGCCTTGGAGATGCTAGTGGGGCGGCTGGGCTCATCCTCGAAGCTGGGCCGGGGCAGGTTGTGGAGGCCACGGTGGGCAGCCCGGAGCAGGGTGTGGGTCAGCACGGCCACCAGCACCAGCGAACCAGAGCCGAGGATGGAGGCAGCAGCAGCACCTGCCTCGATCTTGAAAAGCAGCAGGGCATAGATGGACAGCGCTGGGGAAAGAGAGGGCTCTCGTTTAGTCAGTCAACAAACATTTGTTCTCCAGGCGCTCAGGGAGATCCTCAAGCAGGGATGGTGACAGAAAAACCCGCACCATGAACGGGACACAGATGAACTCAGCTCACCCTCTCGCCCCTCACAATCACATTGTCAGCACATCTGTCCACAAATAAGGAAACCAGCCCCCCAGAGCCACACAGCCAGAAATGACAGAGGACTTCACTGGGCTGGAGGGCTCTGGAGCTGGGGACCTCATTCAACAACCGTGGCAGGGATCTGAGAGCTGGAGGGAGAAAGGAGCCAGCCTGGGGAGAGCAGAGGAGGGGCTTGTGGCAGACAGACCAGCAAGTGCAAAGGTCCTGGGACAGCAGCGCCCGAACACTTGAGGGCCAGAAAACAATCCAGCAGTGCAGCTGGGGCAGGGGGCCGATGGCGGGAGGGGCCGAGGGGGGTGAGAGCCAGACCACAGTGGTGGCCAGGGGGAGTTTGGAGCTGCGAAGGGACAGGAACTGGCTCTGTCATTTCCCTGTTTGGGGGGAAGGGGTCTTGCTAGATAGCACAGTATATCACATGACTTTCCTGCCTCAGCCTCTTGAGTAACTGGAACTACAGGCACGTGGCACAGTGCCTGGCTTGATTTTTTGACTTTTAAGGCTCCCTTGTGTGGGGTGCAGCCCTGTGGCAGAGCGCTTGCAGCACACTCCAGGCTTGGGTTCCCACCCGGCCCCACACATGAAACAAAACCAAAGGAAGCCTTTCCCAATGGGATGGCAACGCTGTGGAGTATTACTTGGCCATGAAAAGGGAATAAAGCACTGCTAGGCATAAGGGAGCACTCCTGCAATCCCAGTGCTCTGGGAGGCTGAAGCAGGAGGATCACAAGTTGGAGCCCAGCCCGGGCAACTTGGCAACTTAGTCTGTAAAATAAGAAGTTTACAAAAGGGCTGGGTCTGTAGCTCAACGAGAGCCCTGGGTTCAACCCCCAGTAGGGGGGAAAAAGAGCATCTCAGACACACGGCCACACAGGGTGTGCGCACACAGACCTGCATGTGTCACTACAACTGAAAAGCCACCTCCAGGCCAAGGGGTCTCCGTGAGGACCTGTGAGCCAGTCATGTATCCAGATCGCACACCTGTCTCCTTGGCAACCATGATATGATTGGCCAGGCCTTCTGCAGTCATAGTGATTGGTAGAGAGGTCACATGACCCACACTCACCTATCAGAGTCATCCCTGGAACTTTGGCCTGGAGCTGGGAGAGGATTTTCTTCCTGTGGTGGGTGGGGTAGGGGTGGTTAGGGAGCCCAGGAAGGCTGGGGGCTCTGGGTACTTTGGGGCTGTTGTTAAGTGGACTCTGCAGTCTTACTTTTGATTTTTTGTTTTTGTTTTTTTTTTTTGGTACCAGGGATCGAACTTGAGTCCTTGCGCTTGTGCAGCAGGCAGTGAAAATACTGAACTAAATCCCCAGCCCATGATTTTTTTTTTTGAGCAGATACTTTTCGTGTGTGTGTGTGGTACCTGGGATCAAACTCAGGTCCTTGTGCTTGTGAGGCAGGTGCAGTGCCACTGGGCTACATCCTCGGCCTCATTTTTTTCTTTTTCGAGACAGGGTCTTGCTGTGTAGTTCAGGCTGACCTTGAATTCACTGTGTAGCCCAGGCTGGCCTTGAACTTGTGGCAGTCCTCCCGCCTCAGCCTCCCAAGTGCTGGGATTACAGACGTGTGCCACTGTGCCTGGCTTGCTTTTGAGAATGTCACGCTAGGTCACGCCTATCGCAGTGAAGACAAGGGCAGTTTCTGCTGTAAAGTTTTCTTTGCTGTGTTTTGAGAGGGTTTTTTTCATTTAATTAATTTATTTGTGTGTGGGCTTTGTTTTGTTTTCAGACAGGGTTTCACTATGTGTTCCAGGGTCGTCTTGAACTTGCTCTGTAGACCAGGCTGGCCTCAAAGTCCCAGCAATCCTCCTGCCTCAGCCTCCCGAGTGCTGGGATTACAGACCTGCGTGACCACACCTGGCTTTTTGAAAAAGATCATTTTTCTTTTGGCTCTGACTAGCAATGAAAGGACAATTGTCTTGGCAGACACTCTTGGGAATTGCTGAGGTCACCAGGCCTCAAAAAGAATTAAATGAGAGATGAAAAATTTTTTTCGTAACAAGGAAATCTTCTTCTCTAGGTTACCAACATTTTTGTCAGCCTGTGGTAAGGCTTGAGGCTGCGACACTGTGTCAATAACGCTTTCACATCCAGCATCTTTCTCAGAGGTGTCCACTCGGGAGATAGCAGGTGAAAGGGAGAATGAAAAGTATTTCAAGCAAATGCCTGGATCCAGCCCCACCTGGAGCCAGCTGCCCCCATAAGTGCAGATAAACCAGTCGGCTTATTGTTCTCCCTTTGAAAACTTCACCGCTTGGAGCCTTTTATAAACTCAAACCACAAAAGTTATGCAGTTTCCTGTGCTTTATACACAACTGAATCCTCTCATAAAAAGAATTTGTAATTTCTGTTTCTCTACTGTAAAATCAAGAAAAAATAGTAACAGCTTCCATACAAACTTTGTGGGGTTTTGTTTCGTTGTTTTGTTTTGGTTTTCCATAGTCTTTCTCTCCTTTCTTCCTTCCTTCCTATCTCTGTCTTCCTCTCTCTCTCTCTCTCTCTCTCTCTCTCTCTCTCTCTCTCTCTCTCTCTCTTTCTTTTTCTTGGATGGACAGGGTCTCTGTAAGTTGCCCGGGCTGGACACAAACTTGTAATCCTCTGGCCCCAGCACCCCCAAGTTGCTGGGATTACAGGTGTGTGTCTCTAGTGTCTTATGAGTTTTTAATTGACGTATAAAAAGTTTACAGATTGCCCAGCCTGTGTGAGGTCCTGGATTCCATCCCCAGTGCCACACAAAATAAATACAAATCAATCAAAAGTAGTAATAGTGGGCTGGGGATTTAGCTCAATGGTTCCACTGCCTGCCTCGAAAGCACAAGGTCCTGAGTTCCATCCCAGTACCAAAAGCAAAAACAAAAGTAGTAATACCAAATCCTTTGTCTTTTTTTGGGGAGAGACAGGGTCTCATTATGTCATTCAGGCCTGCCTTGACCTCACTGTGTAACCCAGGCTGGCCTCCAACTCATGCAGATCCTCCTGCCTCAGCCTCCTGAGCGATGGAATCACAGGTGTGAGCCACCACGCCCAGCTTCCTTTGTCTCTCATTCCACTGATTTGTTTTAAAGAGGTATGCGGGGCATTGGCACTTTTTTCAAGCTCTAAAATATCCATTAGACACCAAGAGCCCCTCTCAAGATGCTAGATGACTTGGCCCATTTACAAACACGGGTTGAGAGAAGGTGGTCAGAAAACAATTGCAAACCAGGAGAGAAGGGTGGCCCGGTGTGGCCTTTGGGGTCTGCTGGACTATTATTATTGTTGTTGTTGTTGTTCTGGGCTCTGGGGACAGAGCCCAGGCCTCACAGTGCTGGGCAGGTGCTCCCCACTGAGCTGCACCACCAGGCCGTATCTTAAACAATGTTAACCAACACCTAATACTTGTCCATCTTCATAGGAAGGCTTTTTTTCCTGCCTTAGAGTTTGGGATATGAAATTACATTTCTAGCTCATAGAGTATAATCTTTAGGCCATTTTGAGCTGGACCTCAAGTCCTCTTCCTCCAAGCCAACCCGAGTCATGCATCCAGGTGCGGCGGGCAGTGGACGCCTGAGCTCACACACAGCTGTGCACCTGCTCAGGAGGGGTGCGTGGCCGGGGCTCGGGCTGTCACCACACTGACAATCCCTGCTACCACTCAGTGAGGCGGGGACAGTCATCATGCCGACTGCACTGAGGGGAAACTGAGGCAGGGGCGACTGCCAGGGCCCCAGAGGGAGAAGTGAGAGCCGAGGGTGGACCCCGGGGCCGCCTTCCCCCCCAACCCGGGTCCTCCACCCGACACCATCCCCACACGCACCTGCTAAGTAGACGGAGACCCCGCAGCAGAACAGCCCCAGGGCCAGGTGCCTGAGGCAGCGGCAGTCATGGAAAAACCAGTCAGACCTGAAATGAGGGCAAGTGGGAAGAAAAGGGGTTCAGGGGTGGAGTTGACTGGGGAGGCAGTGAGAAGAGGGAGTGAGAGTCACCCAAAGGACCTGGGGGCCCAGCTTGCAGGGACAGGGAAGAGAGAGCCGGGTCAGGACCCATCCTCCATCCACCACCCATCCACCAAGTTTATCCATCCATTCATCTCCTGCCCACCCGCCCAGTGCTCCTGTGTACCCACCCATCCTTTGGCCTGTGCTGCGCCCACACCCACCCATCCACCGCCCAGCCCTCCTTTCAGGGAGGCGGCCCGCCCCAGCTGCTTAGCGTCCATTTACCTGCGCTTTACGCATCTATCCACCCACTCTTTCCACTCTGGGCCCCTGTCCTGTGTCCCTCAGACTCGCCCATCGCCCACTCAGCACCCAGCCCCCCCCCTTAGCCCCCAAGGCAGGGTAACCCCAAGCCCCTCAAGGGCGAGGCCCGAAGCTGCAGCCCCGCCCTCACCCTCATCCCCTGGCAGCTCCCACGGCCCCGGGGCCTCGCGTGTCCCGCCTGGCCTGAGTGGGTCACCGTGCCCAGGCCGTCTGCCCCCCCCCCGTCTCAGCTCAGGACCTCCGACCCGTCCCCCTCCCGTCCCGGTCCCCCTTTCTCTCTCCTCCCAGCGCTCGCCCTGTCTGTCTGACTTCGGCATCTCTGCGTGGCTGTCGCCCGTGGTGCCCCCGCGAGTGCACAGGGCCAGCCGGGCAGTGTTGCGGATGCTGTGACACGCGCCCCTCAGCGCCTCCAGGACCCGCCTGGGAGAGTCACCACTGCTCTGCCCACCGAGTCCTGGACCAGGATCGCGACTTCTCTCCCCCAAGTCCGGGCCGGACGACTCCGACTCGAGCACTCCCTCGGCCCTCATCCTGCGCTCAGGTCCCGGACGAAGGCCCCACCCCAGGTGAGGACACTGTCCGGCGCCCCCAGAATCGAGCTCCAAACCAGCGGCCTGGAGGAGCCTCTGCCCTGGGAAGCCAGTTAAAGGTGGTGCGCGCCTGTGAGCCCCGGCCTCTGGGAGGCTGAGGCAGGAGGATCTCGCAAGTTGCAGCCCAGTCGCGGCAACTTAGCGAGGGCTCAGGGAGTGACCAGCGCCCTGACCCGGTCCCGCGGCGGCCGGCGCCCCTGCTGCCAACCTCCCGGCCTTCGGACCAGGCGATGGGGTAGGACGCGGACCGCACCCACCTGCTCGGCCCCGGCGCCGCCAGCTCGGAGCCCAGGTGGCCGAGCAGCGCGGCGAGCAGCGTCCCCGCCAGGCCGAGCAGCAGCGCCAGCGCGGCCAGGGCGGCGGCCAGAGGCAGCAGCGCCCCCGAGGCGTCGGCGGGCAGCCCCGGCTCCGCGCCCCGCAGCTCCGCGCGCCCCTTCTGCAGCTGGAACAGTAGCTGCGCGCCCAGCGCCGCCAGCACGGCCGCGGGGACCGCGAGCAGCGCGAGCACCGCCAGCTCGCGGCCGCCGAACCAGCGCCCCATGACCGGACCGGGAGCCGGGGGCGGGGTCGCGGTGGGCGGGGCCGGGAAGGGGGTGGCCTCCATTGGGCGCGGTTGGGCGGGGAGGGGCGGGGCAGGGTGGGGTATGGGCGGTGGGCGGGGCAGGACCAGGACGGGCCAATGCCGGGAGGAGTGGGCGTGGCCTCTATGGGCGGGGCCAGACGGCCGCCTCAGAGACCCCAGGTCTAACGGGGGCTGGGTCTGGGGATCCGGAGCTCTCTGAAGGGGCCCACGCAGCTGCCTACGCACCGATTTTATTTTCTTCATAACTATACATACTTAAAATAAAAGTTTGAGGCCCAGAGTGGTGGCACACGCCCGTTACTCCGGCACTCTGGGAGGTTGAAGCAGGAGGGAGGGTCTCAAACTCCAGTCCAGCCTGCACAACTCAACCACTTAGAGACTCCGTCTCAAATAAAAACACCAAAGGGCTGAGGATGGAGCTCAGCGCGAGGTCCCTGTGCTCAACCCTAGTACAGGGCTAAAAAAGATATGACAAAATTGTAAATAATTCTTTTTCTATTTATTTCACTCAACCCGCGGACACTGACTTACTGGATGTCCCCTCTGTCTACCTCCTTCAAGGCTCTGAGCAGTGCATGCCTCCCCCTAGAGGCCCACCGGGACTCCTCCCAACCCACAACCTGTTCTTCCCAAGGCGCTTTATTAAATGTTATTTTTAACCTTGAAATTTTGAGGTGAGGTCAGGCAGGGTGGTGCAGGCCTGTAATCCCAGCACTCGGGAAGCTGAGGCAGGAGGATCGCAATGAATTCGAGGCCAGCCTGGGCTACATACCCAGAGCCTGTCTCAAAAATCCAACAACAAAAACTTGAGGTGAAATTTGCAAAACGTTCCGTGGATCTCAGTACATTGACCGCGTGACACCATCACCTCTCTGTAGTCCCAGAATATTTTCAACACCCCGAAAGGAGACCCCTCCCCCTTAACTTTCATCCCACCCAGCCCAGCTCCTGCCAACTGCTAGTTAGAAAGCAGTCCTTGGTCCACTTTAGCATCGGATTAGCTCTTTTGTTGTTGAGCCATAGGAAGCAGGTTGTTCTTTTATTGTTTGTTGTGTGGATAGAACTGTGGATTCCCCCTGAGTTACAATCACAAGCTCTTTTTTTCATTTTCATTTTTTATTTTGAGACAGGGTCTCTCTAAGTGCCTAAGTTACCCAGGCTAGGCTCAAACGTGTGATCCTCCTGCCTTAGCCTGCCAGAGTGCTGGGTTGACAGGCGTGCGGCACCAAACACCGCTTCACTGCTGACTTTTGCGCTTTTCTCATTCCCGCCCAACAGTGGGGAGTAAGCAGAAGGGCGAGGTGGCTGTGACAGATCACGGATCAAGGAGTGAGGCTTGGAGAAGGCCAGGACCGGGACAGGCCGGCACCCTCGGGAACGCGCTGGCGCTCCCCTGTGCTGACTGCTTCCTGAAGGATGAGTAAAAGCGTGGTCCCTTAGGCGGTGCTCGGAGCTGCCGGGCCCTAGGTACGGAGCACGCAGAGCTGTTGTCACAGAGGCGCCACCTGAGTCCTGAGCGGCAAAGCTGAAAGCCATCGTGAGCCTCGGTGTCTCCGGGTGGCCGGGCGTGGAGGCGATCAGGAATGAGATGCCTGTCCCGTCTCCCGCCTTCCACGCCCACCGGCACGCCCACCGGCAACCTCGTAAGTGCCCGCCTCCTGCCCCGGGCCTTCGGGACAGTCCTTTCGCTTCGCCCGCCCCCAGCTGGCCATCCTTTGAGAGGCTAGAATGGAACCCGGCCCGACCCTTCCTCCCCCCGCCCTCGGACCCACACTCAACACGTGTCTAGTCCCCACCTGCGCCCCGCCCACGGGCCCCACCCCTCCCAGGCATTCAGTGAGGGGTCGCAACGGCTCCTGGGCCCCGCCCCTGTCCCACGGAGCACGCCCCGTCCTGGATCCTGTGAGGGTCCCGCCCTCCTCCCAGCTCCGCCCCCGCCTCAGGGGCTCCGCCCCCCGCCAGCAGTCCAGGGACAGGTCAGAAGAGCGCCTCGACCCCGCCCTCCTCCCCGGGCCCGCCCCTCAGGCCCCGCCCACTCCTGGGCGCCCGGTCCACGCGATACTTGCAGAGCCGCAGCGGCTCGGTCAGGCTGCGTGGCGGGGGCTCGTCCAGGCGGGGGCTCGTCCAGGTCCTCGGGCGGCAGGAAGCTGCGGTCCAAGACCTCCGCCGCCTCTTGCCAGTTAGCAAAGCAGGCGCGGCCCAGGCGCTGGATCTCGTCGGCCGCATCGCGCGTGAGCACGTCCCCGTCGGGCTTGAGCACCACGACGGCCGGCAGGTGCTGCACGCAGAAGCGGCGGCCCAGGTCCCTGGGGGCGGGGCGGGGCGGGCCAGTGACGACGGCGACAGCGCCCCCCGCGCCTCTGCTAGCCCCGCGCTGCACCCTGCACCCAGCCCCTCCGTCCAGATGGGGTCTTGCCAAATCGCCCCAGCTGGGCTCCACCTTGCTCTCCTCCTGCCTCGGCCTCCCGCAGGCGGGCCCTCACCTCCGCAGGTCGTCCTCGAAGGGCAGGAACAGGCACCGCTCGGGCATGTCCCTGAGGAACAGGGCCTGCTGCTCCGCCGTGGCGTCCTGCGACACGTACACCAGGGCCAGCTGCGCGGCGCGCACCACGTGGAACTCGTCCGTGAGGCGCACGAAGAAGTCGCGCAGCGCAGGCGCGAAGGCCCGGCACCGCGCGCAGCACCCCGCGCCGAAGAACAGCAGCACCAGCCTGTTCTCCAGCCGGCGGCCGTGCTCGGCCTCCGTCTCCAGCAAGTCCTGCTCGCTGCTGTTGCGGATCAGGACGCGGCCGGAGAACAGGGACGCCATGGCCCGGCCGCCGCGAAGCCAGCTTAGGACCACTAATCCGGGCCCTGACCTGGATCTGGGGCCCAGGGAGGCCTGTGGGTGCTGCCCGTGGGTCACAGAGACGCACTGGAGCGCCCTCGCGTGGTGGCCCCAGCACGCAGGAGGCTGAGGCAGGAGGATCGCCACGAGTTCCAGGCCAGCCTGGGCTACGTAGCGAGACCTTGTTTCAAAAAAAGAAAAAAAAAGGTATTGGGCGAAATACTGACATCCCATGGTATCCCTGGACACCGGACCCCTTGGGTCCCTAAATCGCAGCCGTCACATCTCTTCGGTAAACTGGGGCAGGATCTGCGTGAAACCTAAGCACCCCCCACCCCCACCCCTGTCTTTAAGTCCTCCACGGGGGCCTGGAACCTGGTAGGGTGTGAGCGCTGCCTGAGGAGTGGCTATGCAGTGTTGTCCAGGGATGGAGGATGGAGGGCAGGCAGTGCAGATTCCCCGGGGTGGGGCTGGAGCCCAGGGCCTTCACCCCGGGCCACATCCGCAGCCCTTTTATTTTCGTCCTGAGACGGTCTTGCTAAATAGCCCAGGTTGGGCTCAGATTTGCGGTCCTCCTGCTTCAGGTCCTCCCATGGTGCTGGGTCGGCGGGGATCCACCACACTTCCGGCCAACTTTTTTCCCCACACCCTTGCGCTCCTCGGCCCGCAGCCCCGGGGCCAACTGTGATCTCAGGTACAGAGAACCTCTCTGGGGGGTAGCCAGAACCCGCGGGTGCCCTGCTCGGGGTGCCGTTTCACCCACGCCGCCGGGAAGCCCTGAGCCTTGCAGGAGCCGGCTGCGGAGGCCTCGGCAGAGCTGGACCTCGGCTGCCGTCCACCGCGCTCCCCACCGTGGAGCTGGGTTGGGCTGTTTGCCGTCGGCGCCCTAACTGGACGGTTCGTGGTCCCCCAGTCCGTCCACCAGAGGGCAGCAGCAACCGCCGCGTGAGACACAAGACGGCCGCAGAACGAGGTGCGATCCGTCCCTCTCTGGCAGACGACAGCGCTAACCCCTTAGGGTGAACGGCGGCCCCCTAAAAGATGAGTCCATGCCCCGACCTCCAGAACCTGTGGCGGGACCTGCTTTGGGAAATCCATCTTTGCAGGTGTCCTTTAGCTAAGGGTCTCCAGATCAGACCCCCAGGAATATTGGGGTGAGTCTTAAATCCAATGACAAGGGTCCTTAATAAGAGACAGAACAACTGGTGTGGTGGTGACGCCTGTAATCCCAGCACTGGGGAGGCTGAGGCAGGAGGATTGCCTTGTCTCGGAATACAAAGGAACGAATAAAGGTTTGGTGGTGTTAGCTCACTGCAAAAGCCCTAGGTTCAGTAGCAAGGATACAGACAGAGAGGGAGAGGACAGGGAGCAGAGGAGACAGACTGAGGCCGATTGAGTGACAGAGAGGTCGGCCCTGGGAACGAAAGGCAGAGACAGGAGGCTTTGGGCACAGCCAGGTGGCCGGGAGACACTGGGACCAGGGGGGCAGGAGGGGCCCGGCTGCAGCCTCCTTCAGGTGGCCCTTTGAAGTGGGCTTGCGGAGAGGCAGCCCGAGGGCCAGCCGCTTGGGCGATAGCTCTGTCACCACGACCCAGAACACTCCAGTCTGGACTGCTGAGGACGAGGGACTCTGATGGAGAATTGTCGCCCCAGGCAGCGCTCCCATCCGCTAGTGAGGCCCTGTAATGGCCTTGGGATTTATTTCAGGGCTGCCCATAGTTGGGGACCCCGAAGCTGTGGCCACTGGTAAAACTGAATCCTGGCACTCAGGAAGCTAAGGGCATCATGAGTCACAGGCCACCCAGGCACCCGGTGGGCAGGGGACCAAGGCCACCCTGCCTGAGAGGGGCACCTGGTTTGTCCTGGAGCCTGAGCTCTGTCTGCTGTCCTGGACTTTGGTCCCTTGTCTGAGATCCGTGGGGATGGTTACACCTACAGTTGGGAATTCTTTCTATTTCTAACTTTGAGATGGGGTCTCACTATGTTGCCCAGGCTGGTCTGTGGCCTGTGCTCCTCCTGCCTCAGGCTCCCAAGTAGCTGGGTGTGCACTGAGGGTGTACACCCTATGCCCAGCGGCACCCCTCACACTCACAGGTGCGAGGGCCCTGGGGGTTGAACCTGAGCCGATGCTCACTAGGCAACAGCTCCACCCGAGTTCAGCCAGGCCCTGGAACTGGGCATTGTGTCTTTCTTAAAATACACACACTGCTGTGACCCAGCACTTGGGAAGTCAAGGCAGGCATCACCACAAGTCCGGGGCCAGCCTGGGCCACACAGTGAAACCCTGTCTCAAAAACCAACTTCCCCACACCCCAAAATAAAGGAGAAAGAAAAAAGCTGGGCTTTAAAGGCTTTCTGATTCTGGGGTGGAGGACGGAGAGCTGGGGGTGAATTGGATTCGGTGCTGGTGGGGGCTTAGTAAACCCCATAAGCTGGAGGGGAGAGAGGAAGGAAGGGTGAGCAGTTTCTGGAAGAAGGGAAGGGAGAAGGGTGGGTGAGGGTCAGTGGGAAGAGGCAGAGGAGGAGGACCCAGCCTGCATTTGTAGACGAAGGCTCTTGGGACCAACTACTGGCTGCCGGGCCTGTTCTTGTCAGCCTCTCTTCCTTTCTTTCTGTATTGAGGGTTGAACCCAGGACCTTCACCCCAGCCCTTTTGAAAAATGTTTGTCATTTTAAGAGAGGATCTCACTAAGTCACTAAGCTGCCCAGGCTGGGCTCGAACTCACCATTCTCCTGCCTCAGCCTCCTGGAGTGCCGGGTTCAAAGGCCTGGTTGGCTGCTGCACCTGGCTCTGTCCTCAGTTTCTTTACTGAAAAGTGGGGTGGCCGCAACAGTGCCACAGGACAAGCAGGCAGCGGTCCTGCTCCTGATGGCATGGCCAGTCCCCACCCTGAGGAGGCAGCACAGGCCAGGCTGGCTCTGGGCCTGTCCCCCGCCCCCCACGGCGCGGGACCAATGGCAGCTGGGGTGGGGGTGAGACGCCAGCCCTGTCCTCCAGTGGCGCTGGGAGCTGGCCCTGGCCGCCCACCAAGGAGGCACAAGGAAGGTCGGCCAAGCAAGCGGGCAGAGCCCGGCCGAGTGAGCAGGGCGGAGGGCCTGGGAGGGCCCCGAGGGCACAGAGCCGCAGAGGAGACCCTCGGCTCCGGCTGGGTTTGAGGGCCCCTCGCTGCCTCGGCCTCAGAGCCCTGCCTGCCTCGGCCTCCTGCCAACTCAGCTTCCTGCCCGCGCGTCCAAGCCGAGCGGCTGCAGCGCGCAGGTCAGGTCAGTCCTGAGGCCTGGACCGAGGGCTCTGGGGCCCCTGGTGACACTCAGGACCCTGAGATGCTGGGAAGGACGAGCCCCTGCTTGGGGGGGTTGGGGGCCGCTGGCTGGCTGGCGGCTCGGCGCTGTGGATGGACACTGGCTGGGCCCGGGCTGACAGGTTGGAGACAGGTGGGGTTCGGATCCAGCTGCCGCAGGGGCCCCTAGGGCGTGAGTTCAGGCTCCCCAGGCCGCTGAGTGGGTGTTTAAGACCGAAAGGCTTTGGGGCTTGGCTCCAGGACAGGACGGGGCCGAATCCAGCCCCAGCGGGCGGTGGGTGTGGGCTGCGACTTCGCGCGCCTTCTAGGGTCTGCGCCCAGGGCCACGCCTCTCCGGAACCCACTTGCTCCCTCCGCACGCACCCGGGAGGCTGCGGAGGCCTGGTTGCCCTGGAGACGGCGGTCTTCCTCGCGGGACGTTCTAGCCCCGGGTCTCGTTGGCTGTCGGCTCTCTGGCCCCGGGTGGGTGCTCTTTATGGTCGCGGCCTCCGGAAGGGGATCGGCTTCGCAGTGCGGGAAGAGGTGCTAAGGGCGACACAGGTAGGAGGCGGGGCTGAGGCTGCGAGGCAGGAGCGCTGCGCTCCTTCTGGGGTGGCGACTGCGCCTCCGCCTGGAGCTAACTTGATCCACCAGGGATTGGGGGCGTGGCCTAGCTCAGAAGGGGAGAGCCGCTCAAGGGGTGGGGTTCCACTTGGAGACTGGCGTTTGTGGGCGGAGCTGTAGGCCTTGCCAGGGGGCGGGGTCCAGGGAGCGGCGAGAGCCAGGGGCCGACTTGAGACTGGGCGGGTGTGGTCGTGGAGGTGGATTGGGGGACAGAGGACAGAGGGAGGCACATGGCCTGGACGAGTGACTGAGTAGGGCCCGGTGCTGTCGTCGGGAACGAGGTGGAGCCCGCGTTTTCGGAGCTGAGCCGTGGGGTGGCGCTTTATCCCCTCGGTCAAATCTTGGGGGCTGGGGCTGGCAATGACTGACGTATGCAAATAGGCCGGGGGAGGTTCCTATTAGAATGATTAGCATAGAGGCGGGGCACCGGGCTGGGGATGGAGTCTCTCCAGGACAAGGCCAATCCCAGGCCTGGGGGCGGGGCCTTGCCCGGAGTAAACTTGCTCAGGTTAAGGCCTAGGGGTCGGAGCCTGGATCCGAGTGGCGGGGCGGGGCCGGCAGCGGCGAGGCGGGCGGAACCAGGCCTGGGCTGGGCGACCGGGCGCCCGCGGTGCCGTCCGATTCCAGCGCTCGCGTCCCCGCAGGATGCGGTTCCTGGGCGCGGGTCCGGCCTCGGTGGCCTCGCTGGCGCTGTTCTGGTTGCTGGGCCTGCCGTGGACCTGGAGCACAGTGGCGGCGTTCGGCGTCTACGTGGGCAGCGGCGGCTGGCGCTTCCTGCGCATCGTCTGCCTGACGGCCAGGCGTGACCTCTTGTGAGTGTCGTTCGGGCCGACTGGGGCGCAGGTCACCCTGGTGGTCCTGAGGGTCGGGTTTTAGGGGCTGGGGGGGCGAGGCCGGGCCGGAAGGGGTGATGGGCTAGGGGCTGGGGGACTGCAGTTGACAGGCCGGGAGTCCCTGTAGGTTGCAAGTGTTCCGGGCTTTGGTGGGTGCCTTGGAGACTTTGGGGGACCCAGGGGGCAACCTCGGGGCCTCAGGGGAGCTGATAATGTCCCAGGGAGCTGGGGTGATTTGGGAGCTGGGGTGATTTGGAAGCTGGGAGGGCCTGGGGTCTCGGCGGGGCTGTGGGGACTCTGGTAGGTCCCTGGGGGCTCCTCAGGTGTCAGGGCTCTCTGGGGAACCCCAGCATCTTGGTCCCCCTTAGGAGTGGGGGGCTGTGGGAGCCTCTGGGGGTGTCTAAAGGTGGGGTGCTTCCCCAGGTGCCCTACAGGTTCCTGCACAACTAGGCTGCGTTGAGAGTCTGGAGTCTGTGTGAGCTTTGGGGGTGGCCCAGGGTGTGTGTGGGCCCCTGTGTTCCAGGACTTGGGTGTCTGTGGAGCCTGGGTTCTCTGGAGGGATCTGGTGTCACCCGTGTGTGGACCAGAGTCCGTGTGTGCCTGGAGGCCTCTGGGAGTCTCTGGGCCTTGGTTAGGGAGCTGCTCGAGACCCTTCCGGCTGAAGCAGGCCTCCCTGGGGTTTCCGGAGTGAGTTCGGGAGTCAGCAGGGGCAGTGGTACCTTCGTGCGCAGGGCCAGTCTTCCCAGGGGGTGCGGCTGCTGTACCCACTTTAAGGATGAAGAAACCGAGATTCACAGAGAGGGAGGGGAGTTGCAGAGCTGGCGGGGTCCCCTGCAGACTGGGCTTTATAAAACCCATCCCTCTTCCTGGGGGTCTTTCTGATGTGTAGACCTTGATGGCCACTCCAGGCCTGTGACTGTCACCCTGATGCATCAGTGTCTCTGGACTGAGGAAGGCCAGGCAGAGTATGAAGCTGGCTCCTGGGTGTGCTCAGGTCCTGGAGGCGTGGCCTTGGGGACAGCGCTGTGCCTGCTTCCACTGTGAGCCTGTGAGGTCCCTGCCTTGGAGCCAGTGCCCCACAGATTCCCCCTTTCAGCTGCGGTGTCCCCTGCTGCAAGAAAGCCCACCTGGTACAGTTGCTCCTCTGCCAGCTGGCGCCCAAGGCCCTACCATCCCCCCGTGCCTGTGCCTGCCCCCTACTCCCACCTCCATAGGGCCACTGGGTGTTTGGGGCCTTTTCTGTCTGGTGACACCTGGTGGCACCTTTCAGGGAGCATCTGTTGGATTTTCTGGCTCAGCGCCCTCCGTAGCTCCATGGTGTCCTCGGAATCTAGACAGTACTCCTGAGCAAGTCCTAGAACATTCCCGCCCATGTCCCTAACCCCCCCCTCCCACCCCGTCCCTTTTCCAACTAAATGTGCACAGCCTCAGTCCAGCCCCAGGGCCTTTGCACTCATGGTTCCTCTGCCTGGATTAGGTTTCCTCTGCTCTTCACTTTCTGTCTCAGCGTCACCTCCCCTGAGAGCCCTCCCCAGACACTGTCTCTGTCACCCCCTTGTGACAGAACAGCCACCACTTATGAGCACCTGCCACGCTGTGAGGAGCTTTCACAGGTGAGGCCTCGAGAAGCCCCCACAACCCCCCGATGTGCAGCGCCTCTCTCCTCATCCTGAAGCCAGCACACCCAGGGTGTCATGTGTGTGGCTTGCGATGTTGTGACAAGTGGCAGGGCAGGCGGCGTGGCCCCTGCTGGTCTTGGTCATTCGTGTCATTGGTGCTCTGCTGTCACACTCTTTAGCACCCCCCTACACTGCAGCCCTGGGCACAGGTAGAGGTCACGTCCTCCCTGGTGCCACTGTGGCTTGGCGTGCGGCAGGCGTGGGAGACGTGCGCGCCTTGTCTACCCCTGTGCCCACCTAGCCCTCACCCTGCACCCCAGCTCTGCCTCTGGCCCCCTCTGCGTCCCTGACATGGCTCCGCTGTGGGGCACCCTGGGAGGTGGCCCTGGGCCCTGCCCCTGTGCCTTTTGCTTGGTGGTCCCCTCCCATGTTCCAGTAAAGAGAATACAAGGGGTGGGATGGCTGGGCGCAGGGTTCACATCTGGCATCCCAGCTACTCAGGAGGCTGAAACAGGAACATCACAAGTTTGAGCCCAGCCTGGGAAACTTAGGGAGAATGGACCTCAAAATTAAAGAAATAAAATAAAAGGGCTGAGGGTATAGCTCAGTAGAGAGTCCTTGCCTACCATGCACAAGGCCCTGGGTTTAATAACCAGCAAAGAAAGGAGGAAAGAGAGAGAGAGAGAGAGAGAGAGAGAGAAAGAGAGAGAGAGAGAAAGAGAGAGAGAGAGAGAAAAAGAGAGAGAGAGAGAGAGAAAGAGAGAGAGAGACAGGAAGAAAAAAGAAAAGGAAGGAAGAGAGCTCCCTGTGCTCCTCTGAGGTTAGGTAATAAAAAGGCTGTGGCTCCCATCTGGCGACAACAGCTCTGGTAACTAACGTAGCTTACACAGACCTCCCTGGTACCGGGCGTTTTTTACACAGCCCTGGAAGGAGGCGACATTAGCTAGGCGTGGTGATGCACACCTGTCATCCCAGCTACTGGGGAGGTTGAGGCAGGAGGATTGCAAATTTGAAGTCAGCCTGTCAATGTAGTGAGACTTTGTCTCAAATAAGAAAGAAAAAAAAAACCTAAAGAAAGAAAAACCCCAAAACCACAGCTGTGGATATAGCCCAGGGGTGAGCTCTTACCTAGCGTGTGTGAGGCCCTGGGTTCCCTCCCCAGTGCTGCAAAAAGAATCCAAGAAGAAATGCCTACTAACCCCACCTTGCAGGTGGAGAAAGGCACAGAGTGAGGTCAGTTGCCTGGAAACACAGCCAGGAAGGGGCTCCTGAGTGTGCTCTTGGCCACTGTGCAGTGAATTGGTTGGTTTGTTGGTTTGTTGGTTTGTTTGTGCTACTGGGGATGGAACCCAGAGTGCCCACACTGAGCTACATCCCCAGACTATTTTGAGACAGGATCTTGCTGAGTCACTAAGTTGCCCAGGCTGGGCTTAGATTTACAATCCTCCTGCCTCAGCTTCCTGGAGTCCTGCATTCCGACCTGCACCACCATGCCCTGCTGGGCTTCTGTGCTGAATTTAGACACAGGTTCAGCAGATCTGTGCATGCCCACCCTGTCCTCTCCAGCCGCCCTCTCTGCTGTGGGAAACCCAATCCCCATCCCGGTCTAAGCTCTTGTTGACTTCCCCCTGCTGCAGTCCCAGGACGCAGGATGAAAGGAGCAGGACAAGTGGAGGCCCTGGGAGGGCTGCAGACAGTGGTCTCTTTGTGCACAGGAAGGGGGTGGCTTGGGCTGCTGCCCAGGGTGGCGCCCGGGCCTGTGGCTGGGACCCAGCTCTGGAATCCACTGCCTGTGGCCGGCGGAGGACAGGAGGGCAGGGGGGGACAGCCCTGGCCGGTGTTCAGCGGGGCTCGCTTCCTCCTGCTGGCTGAGGTCCTGATGAAAGACAGACTTGCAGGAGGGTCTGCTTCCTGTGGCCACTGCCCTCGCTGGCGGCCTCTCTGGGGCTGTCCTCGGCCACTGATCTGGGTCACTCTTGGGAAGCCCCCAGAGCAGGGACAGGCACACAGCCGGTGTGAGATGCGCTGGTGGCTGCAGGCTCGTGGTCAGCAGCTTGGTGGCCAGAGCCCCTTGCTGGCCCAGAGCCCACGCCTCCTCTGAGGTGGCCCTTTGTGCGTCCTCCTTTTCGAGGTGACCGCCCTGGCCACTGTGTTACTGTTGAGTGATGGGTGAGGTTCTTGCGATGGGGCCCAGCGTTCATCCTACAGCTCACTGTAGGGGGCTCTGGCCCAGATCCTGCCTGAGGCAGCACCGAGAAAGAACTGCCTGGCCCTGGCCACGGGTGGATGCAGAAACATGCAGCTTTCAATGTTGGACGCTTTTACTTACTGTTTTAAACATTTAATTATTAAATCTATGGTATTGTGGATGGAACCCGAGACCTTTGCCCTGAGCTCCACCCGCAGCGTTTTATTTTTTCATTTTGAGAGAGGGTCTCACCAGTCATTATGTTGCCCAGATTGGGCTCAAGTGTTTGATCCTCCTGCCTCAGCCTCCCAGAGTGCTACCCCACCTGGAGTACCTTTTTTTTTTTTCTTTTTTGGTACCGGGGATCGAACTTGGGACCTTGCGCTTGCGAGGCAGGCACTGGAACCACTGAGCTAAATCCCTGGCTGGAGTACTTATTTCAGTAATGCAGTAGTATCCCCCTTTGTGATTTTGCTTTCTGTGGCTTGGTTACCTGAGATCCAACATATTCTGAAAATATTAAAAGCCGTCTGGACTCTTTGAGGAGAGCCCACGTGCAGGCTGCAGGTGCGGCCCGTGCTGAGTGGTGCTTCTACCTCCCCATCGCAAATGTGAAAAACACAAAATTGCAGAAAAGAAAACCACAGCACTTCTGCACTGTGAACAGGGCACTTGCTACAGCACCCCCAGGTTTTCCCCCACGTGTCCAACAGCAACCCAAGTGCGGCTCGGAGCGTGATCCCGAGGCTGTGGCGAGTTTTGGTGAGTCTGCACATCGCTGCGTCTGGGGCTGGGGCTGGGCTGCACTGCATGGAGCCAGACAGTCCTCGCTGGTCCCTGCCGCCCTGCACAGCTCTGCGTTTCCCTGGAGTGGGCGCGTGCCCAGTGCCGTCAGTTTTCTCCTGTCTGTCTTCACGGAAGGCCAGACTCCACGGCAGCCTCTCTGCTCACACATCGGCCCATCCATGCGCCGTGGCCACCGTGCAGCCCACCCGTCCGGCTCAGGCCCTGGCCCAGCCTCTCTCCCTTCTCTGTGCATGGCATCGGTTCCCCTCGGCCCTGCACCCTCAGGAGCCTCCCCTTTGATCTCCTCCCCGTTTGCTGGAGCCAGGCTTGGCGGCTTCTGGAAGAATCTGTGGGGAGCTCACTCTTTTGTGCTTCTCTCTGTCTGAAGATTCTTCTGTTTCCTTCCTTGGCCCTTGCCTGGGTCCAGAGGTCTAGGGTGGCAGCTTCCTGCACAAGTGGAGGCCATTTTTCATTTTCTTTTTTTTGTTTTTGGGGTTTTTGAGACAGGGTCTTGCTGTGCAGCCCAGGTTGGGCTTGAACTCATTGTGATTGTCCCGCCTCAGCCTCCGGAGTAGCTGGGACTACAGGTGTGGGCCGCTGCGCCTGGCTCCTGGGTGGTCTCCCCTATGAATGGGGGTGGGGGCATCACCCCTCCTCAGTTAGTACCTACAACTGTGGGTGTGCACCAGCGCACCCGGTTCCCCTTTGCACTCTCAGAGAGGCCCGCAGAGCTTGGGGGAATGTGGCGGCACCCCAGGCCCGGTGCTCAGAAGGTCCACACCCATCTCTCATCCCCGGGGAAGGGTCTTGCTCTCCCCATTTCGGGTGTAGCCTAGAGGGCAGCACCACTCCTGGTCAGTGTCCGCGTTTTCTGGCCCAACCTCAAACCTGGAGGCCCCAGCTCCTGTGCGCAGGCCCCGCCCCGCTCCACCCCGCCCCCTCTCACTCAGCTTCTGGGGCTCCGGCTGCCCCCCCCCCTTTTGCGTGGTACTGGGCACAGCCAGGGCGGCACAGCTCAGCCCGGGTCACCCCCCCCCCCCCGTCCAAGGACCCACAGGCCGCGTCCTTCAGGCCGCTTGGTAATGGGTGATCACGTGCCTGCCTGCTGCAGAGCAAGGCCTCTTTCTTTCTCCCTCCTTCTCTCTACTCCTTGGCAGCCCTCAGGGCCTTTGCACTGAGCCGCATCCCAAGCCTCTTTTTATTTTTAATTTTTTTCCGGAACTGGAGATCGAACTCAGGACCTTGCACTTTGCAGGCAGGTGCTGGAGCCACTGAGCTAAACCTCCAGCCCTTCTTTTTATTTTTTAAAAAATTTTTTTGGTACCAGGGATTGAACTCGGGACCTTGCACTTGTGAGGCAGGCGCCGGAACCACTGAGCTAAACCCCTGGCCCAAATGAATGGAGGATGGTAGGATTGTTCTTTAGGGAACATCTTTTTTTTTTTTTTTTTGGTACCAGAGATCGAACTCAGGACTTTGTGCTTGCGAGGCAGTTGCTGGAGCCACTGAGCTAAATCCCCAGCCCTTCTTCTCTTTATTTTCTGAGACAGGGTCTTACCCTAAGTCACCCAGGCTGGGCTCGAACTTGTGATGCTCCTGCCTCAGCCTCCCACAGCCCTGGGATTACGTGAGCCTGCTACCATACCAATTTTTAAGAATATTTGAAAATTAATAAAAAATATGGAGCCAGACACGGTGCTGTGTGCCTGGAATCCCAGCCACTCAGGAGGCTGAGGCAGGCAGGTGGCAAGTTTGAGGTCAGCCTGGGCAATTTAGCTAGACACTTTATCTCATTTTTAAAAATAAATTTTATTTTATTTATTTTTTGTACCAGGGATTGAACTCGGGTTCTTGCACTTGTGCAGCAGGCAACAAAACCACTGAGCTAAATCCCTGGCAATAAATTTTATTTTGACAATTTATTTCAAAATAAAATAAAATGGGCTGGGGATGCAGCTCAGAGTGAAAATCCTAGGTTTGACCCCTAGTCATAAAAAGTTTTATGATGGCAAATTTCCTCCCACAGAAGGGGTGCCAATGCTGCCCTTAGCCCTTTGGCGCCAGAGGCGGGGAACTGACGCAGAGGGGGTTATTCTTGCTTCTGCAGGCTGGGACGCCCAGGGTCAGGCCACATCCCGGATGCAGGAGGAAGGGCTGGAGGGCCCTGTGGGACAAGGGACCAGGGGACGTTGTCCCCTCCACTGCTTCTCCCAGGGCTGAAGGCAGAGGCACAAGGTGCATCTGCCTGCCCAGGGCCAGCATGGAGACACAGGCGGGACAAGGCAGTGAGTGTGTGGGGAAGGAGAGTAGAGCAGTGACAGGTGAGGGCCCTGTGGGGACCCAGGAACGGCCACCGGGAAGGTGATGGTGAAGCAAGCCTGGGCAGCTGCAGACAGTGATGGTGGGTGCAGGTGCAGCCCATGCAAAGGTCCTGGGGCTGCGCATGCTGGGCATGGTCAGGGAGCAGGAAGAAGGCAGTGTGGCTGCAGAGGGTGGAGGGGAAGCAACTCCGTCCTAGGGCCTGGCTCACAGTGGACGCCCAGTTTGGGAGGGAGGAGAGGGCCACCTGGTACCTGTGGGCTTCTGGCTCTACTCAGCCCAGAGGATGCAGGGGGGAGGCTGGAGCCGGCACAGGCGGCATGTGGTGCTGCTCTTGTGTGTGTATGCATGTGTCTGTGTGTACACTGCGACTGAGCTCCATGGGCCTCAGTCCCCACGGCAACCAGGGCCCCAGAGACCCACCCCTGCCCCTCCCCACTCAGGAGGCTGAGGCAGGAAGGCCACAGATTTGCTTGTCTCCCTCCCAGAGAACTGTGAGCCCCTGAGGTGGGGCTGGTGGCTCTGTGGATGGCTCTGCCCTCAGAGCTGCCTGGCATGGGGAGTGCGGCCTGGCGGACACAGAGTGGACTTTTTTCAGGGCTGGAGATGGAACGCAGGGCTGTTGCACCTCCCCAGGCAGCCCTTTCATCTTTTATTTTGAGACAGGGTCTTTCTAAATCGCTGAGTTGCCCAGGCTAAACTCAGCCTTGCCGTCCTCCCGCCTCAGCCTCCCGGAGTGCTGGGATCCCAGGAGCGTGCCACCTCACCTGGCTCCAAGGACGGATTTGGCAATGCTTTTGACGCTGAAGGGGTGGCGGGCTGGTAGCCAGAACAGGCTGAAGAGGGGCGGTGGAGGGTGGGTGGGGCGCCAGTGCGGTCCTCCTGCCACTGTGCCGGGCCGGTGTGTCCCCTGGCTGTTGGGGACGGCCCTGTTCCCACCCACTGGCCTCCTGGCCTGGCACTGCCCCACAGCAGCAGTGTCCCCTGGCCCCACAGCTGGGAGCTGGCCCGCCCTGGGCCAGGCGCACTCGGGGATGCTTCCCGTCTGAGCGCCCGGGCGATGGTGCGCATGCGCCTCAGTGGCCACTCCTGCGGTGCCACCAGGGCAGCGCACGTCCGGGGACAGACGGTGGCGGCTGGGCAGCCCGGGCACCTGTAATTTGCCTGTGGCGGCCCAGCAGCTGGCGGATGCCTGTGCCCTGCCCTTGCCTGGCCGCCTCCAGTGGGCTGTGGGGCTGCGGACCGCGGTGACAGGCCTGTTGCCTCCGCAGCGGCCTCTCGGTTCTGATCCGCGTGCGCCTGGAGCTGCGGCGGCACCGGCGCTCGGGCCACACCATCCCGGCCATCTTCCAGGAGGTGGCGCGGCGGCAGCCCGAGCGCCTGGCGCTGGTGGACGCGGGCAACGGCGTGTGCTGGACCTTCGCGCAGCTGGACGCCTACTCCGGCGCCGTGGCCGAGCTCTTCCGCCGGCTGGGCTTCGCGCCGGGCGACGTGGTGGCCGTCTTCCTGGAGGGCCGGCCTGAGTTCGTGGGGCTGTGGCTGGGCCTGGCCAAGGCGGGCGTGGTGGCCGCACTGCTCAACGTCAACCTGCGCCGCGAGCCCCTGGCCTTCTGCCTGGGCACCTCGGGGGCCAAGGCGCTCGTCTACGGCGCGGAGATGTCAGCGGGTGAGGCCCTGCGCAGGGAGGCGGTGCGCCCAGGCCTCACAAGGGGCCCCCCAACACGGGGTGCCCATCGTCCCTGCTACTCAGGAGGGTCCCAAGTTCAACCCCAGCCCGAACAACTTCGCCAGATCCTATGTCAGCATAAAACGGGCCAAGGGTGCGGCTCAGTGCGAGGCCCTGGGTTCAGTCCCCAACCTGAGAAAAAGCACAGAATGGGTCCTTCCGGGACACCCTGCAGCACCCGGCGTGGGGAGACTGCATGGGGCCTTGGGACAGGGGCGTCTGGCCGGCCGAGTGCCCACACGACACCCGTGTGGCCGCAGCGGTGGCCGAGGTGAGCGCGCAGCTGGGGAAGAGCCTGCTGAAGTTCTGCACCGGAGCCCTGGGGCCGGACAGCCTGCTGCCCGACAGCCAGCTGCTGGATGCCATGCTGAAGGAGGCCTGCCCCGCACCCCTGGCCCCGGCCCCGGGCAAGGGCATGGACGGTGAGTGGGGGACCCTTCGCCACTGCCCGGCCGGTGCCGTCCAGCCCGTCCCCAACGCCCACATCTCTGCAGATCGCCTCTTCTACATCTACACGTCGGGGACCACGGGGCTGCCCAAGGCCGCCATTGTGGTGCACAGCAGGTGAGGTCCGGGGTGACCCCAGGGACTCCTGGGGTCTGTGGGTGGCTCCATCACGACATCAGTAGGACCTGTCCCTCAACTGGCTCAGCACCACCCAAACCGCCCCCACCTCAGTGGGCTTCCGGGCCTGAGCCCGCCCCCTCTGGCTCCAGGACCTTTGCACGCTCTGTGCCCTGGACCCGCCCCAGGGACCTGGCAGGCGTCCCCTGTCTCTCCTGCCCCAGGTACTACCGCATCGCAGCCTTCGGCCACCACTCCTACAGCATGCGCCAGGCGGATGTGCTGTATGACTGCCTGCCCTTGTACCACTCGGCAGGTACCGCGGGGCCGGGGCGCGGGGCGGGGACAGGGACGGAGACAGGATCGGTCCCAAGCCGCCCACCCTCCGCAGGCAACATCATGGGCGTGGGGCAGTGCATCATCTACGGGCTCACGGTGGTGCTGCGCAAGAAGTTCTCCGCCAGCCGCTTCTGGGAGGACTGCGTCAAGTACAACTGCACGGTCAGGCCCCGCCCGCCCCACCCCGCCCACCGGCCCCGCCCCTGCCCCCCCGGGGCCTGCTCTGCCCCCTCTCGCGCTGGATACTTGGACAGGGCTGTCCGGGCGGGCGGGGACAGGAAAAGCAGCCACTGCGCCTGGACACTGACTGGTCCTGGGCTGGACAGCCTTGCGTGTAAACGCGTGGCAATCTCCACAGTGGCCACAGGCGTCGAGTCCACTTTGCAGGTGGGGACACTGAGGCTCTGGTGCAGCCAGGATCCAGCCCAGGGTGCCCTGCCCGCTGCGGCCTTCTCTGCTGGGGAGGCCAGGGCTTCCAGGACTGAGGCCAGGTGCAGCCAGCTCCAGGGAGGGGCTCCCAGGTGGAGGCAAGGCAGGCTGCCGCCGCTGTGGCTGCCACCGTTCCCTGGTGGACACAGAACAGCTGGGTGCCGCGGAGGGGAGGCCTGGGCTCCAGCACTAGGATAAAAAAGGGGGAAAAATTGAGAAAGTCGGGCGTCTCCTCCAGTAGGACCTGCGCTGGGAAAGGAGTAGAGAGGGGCCCGGCCGTGGCAGAGCAGGAGGTGGCTGCCCTGGGCATGCTCTGGGGCCCTGCAGCACCTCTAGGCAAGAGCTGCCTGCCCGGCCAGCCAAGTGCCGGGTTCCAGCCCCAGCACCCAGGGACAGCAGAAGTGAGCAGTTTACTACATTCACGAGGCTGGCACATTAGTCTTGGGAAATCCTGTGGCCTAAAGAAGGCCGTGCCAAGTGTCCAGGAGCTGTTGCTCCCCAGCCCCTGGCAGCCACTGACCTGCTCCCTGGTCTGGACTCCCCTGCCCTGGGCCTCTGGCATCAGGCGCCACTCGTGAGGTTGAGCGGGGCTGCTTTTCCGCTGGGGCATATCCTCCCAGCTGCACGGCAGGCACAGTGGCAGGGTCCTGGGTGTGGTCAGCGTGGGCAGAGGCCCGGTTCCGGGTGTTGCTCTGTTGGACATGTCTGTCCCCGGAGCTTTAGGGGAAGAGCCTTGGATCGGGGCTCCCGTCCCAGCTCGCCATGCAGGGGCAGAGTGGTGGTTCAGGGCAGGAAGGGGACCGCGGTGATCGTGCGCACACTGCAAGCTGAGACTGGGCAAGTGGGATGTGTCTTCAAGCCCTCTGGTGTGCAGAGCCCCAGCCGTAGGTCTCCATCTCCCGCAAGGCAGTGCGATGCAAGCGCCAGAGAACAAAAGACAGACACAGACTTAAGGGAAAGCAGTCTGGGGTGGTCTAAGCTGCTCTGGGCAACAAAACCAAAAGACACCGAAGACTTCCAGCATTCACTGATTACAGGCGCGGAAGGAGGACAGCAGGGTGCGTGTGAGGCAGCCGGCCACAGCAGGTGTTGCAGGCAGGTATGGAAGGGAGGCACCCATTGTGCAGGAGAAAAAAACAGGGACCAGGACTGGGTCATAATTAACCAGCAACCCCCCAGGTTAGTAAGGGAAGCCGATTCCGAGCGAAGAATTGAATTGGGGTCACCCTGACTTCAGCTGGAAGTTGTCTCAGCAGGGCCCTGCAGTTTTGCAGGTCAGAACTTGGGCCTCCACTGCAGCCACTGGTGGAGCTGTGCTCCCCCAGCCCCGCCGTCTGACGTGCCCACGGGAGTCACGTAGGCTCTGGGAGGCTGAGGCAGGAGGGTCAAGTTTGAACCACCTGGGAGGCTGCTTAGTGACTTAGCAAGACCCTGTCTCAAAATACAAAATAGAAAAGGCTGGAATGTAGGTGAGTGCAGAGGCCCTGGCTCAATCCCCAGTGCCATAAAAGCACAAGAGTGTCTTAGAGGGGATGATGCCGGCTTTGGGCTGGTACAGGAAAGGGGCACAGGCGGGGCTGGAGCTTCAGGGCTGGCAGGGCAGGTGAGCAGTCAGGCCTGGTGCGGTCCTTGTCTCGGGGCTGGTTCTGAGTGTGGAGTCCTGGCTGTGGTCTGAGGACGTGGCCTGCGAGGCTCAGCTTTCCTTGGAATCCCCGGGGAGCGCAGGCTCAGGACAGACTGCTGCGCCACACTTCCCCGTCACAGGGACAAAACTCTGGATGCTGCACTCAGGGCGGTGCATGTGCCCTCACGGTCGGGGTCCAGCTGCTAGGTGCCTGTGCCACCCTGTGGCCACAGTCGTGACAGTTACGGATGTGTCCAGACACCGCCCAGAGCCCCCAGGCCATGACTCGCCCTGGTTGAGTCACCAGTGCCAACTGCCCACTCGCTCGCTCACTCGCCTGCCCTTGTTAGCACTAGGCTGGAGCCCGAGGCCCCACGCAGGCCTGCAAACGCCCAGCACTGAGCTGCACCGCAGCCCGTTTATCTTTAAATCTCAAGACAGGGTCTCCCCAAGGTGCCCAGGCTGCCCAGGCTGCCCCCGAGCGGCTGCGGTTACTGCTGTGTGCTGCCGCCTGGCTCAGTCTCAGTGTTTGAGCAGCTTTGAGTGCAGCCCCCGCGGAGCGGCTGCTGTGTGGGGGTCTGATGGGCTCGGCCTTGCACTGTGCGGACGTCATCTCGGGCCCAGTCAGCCTCTGCGGCTCTGGAGGAGAGGGATCCCCTGCCACAGCGTGAGAGAGCGTGCGTGGGCACTGGGCGCTACGGGGCCAGCGCCGGAGGCCGCGTTCGCCCAGGACGCCCAGGGGCGGGGCCTGAGCCGCATCACGCCTCATGGCTCAGGGTGGGGATGCCGCCTGGCTGCTGTGCTATTTGCATTGCTGGGGACGGAACCCAGGGCCTTCACGCAGAGCTACATCCCCAAGCCTTTTTCATTTTCATTTTGAGACAGACTCTCGCTAAATCGCCAAGGTTTCTGGCCTGGGCTAGAACTTGCAATCCTCCTGCCTCAGCTTCCCACAGTGCCTGCCTGGCTCCATGCACCCGGGTTTAGGGCAGTCTCAGTCTCGATGGCCGGGCTGGCTGCGTCGCGAGGCCGCTCCTGGAGACGCCCTGGGCTGTGCTGACCTGGGTGGGCGGCCGGTGGCCGTGGGCGCTCTGTCCATGGTGGTTCCAGTGAGGTTCTGCCCCTGACCCCTGTCACCCGCTCGGGTGCCCTCCGTGAGCCTGAGTTCCTCTCTGCAAGGCGGGGAGCACGATCATGCAGCAGCCGGCGATGAGCACGGGACACTGGGGCGGGGCCGAGCCCCACGGGAGGGCCGTGGCCCGCGGGGAGGTGCAGCGCGCCTGTGCCGCAGGTGGTGCAGTACATCGGCGAGATCTGCCGCTACCTGCTGCGGCAGCCGGTGCGCGAGGCCGAGGGGCGGCACCAGGTGCGCTTGGCCATGGGCAACGGGCTGCGCCCTGCCATCTGGGAGGAGTTCGCACGGCGCTTCGGGGTGCAGCAGATCGGGGAGTTCTACGGCGCCACGGAGTGCAACTGCAGCATCGCCAACATGGACGGCAAGGTGCGGGGTCGAAGCCGGGGACCCAGGGTCAGGTGACGAGCGCGTGCCAAGCCGGCTAAGCAAGCATCTCTGCAAACGGGTCGGAGGAGGGGCGGGGCCGCTGGCATTGGGCAGGAGGCAAAAACAGGCCCGGGGCGCACACCCGTGATCCTAGCTCCATGGGAGGCCGAGGCAGGAAGATCGAAAGTTCCAGCCCAGCCTGGCGACTCAGTGACTTAGCCAGACCCTGTCTCAAAAAGTGTAAAGAGCTGAGGGTGGAGATCAGTGCGAAGGGTCCCGGGTTCAGCCCCCAGTACTGCGGCCACCATCACCTCCGAAACAAAACCTGCTGGTGTCCCACACGGCTCCTGGGAGGCCCCATGAACCAGAGAGGGTAATGTGGCCAGCCGTGCAGGGCTTGTGGGGCAGGAAGTGACAGCCACTGCGGGGGGGGGGTCTTCGGGGCTGGGAGCGTGGGAGGGGTGCAGCCGGCCTCCTGCATCTGAATCTGCAGGTCCCGGGCTCGGGCTCAGGCGCTTGCTGCTTGCTGGGGTCCCCCGGCCGGGAGGCCCCACGCCGGCCGCACTGGTCGACCCTGCCCTCTGCCCCAGGTCGGCTCCTGCGGCTTCAACAGCCGCATCCTGACGCACGTGTACCCCATCCGGCTGGTGAAGGTCAACGAGGACACCATGGAGCTGCTGCGCGACGCGCGCGGCCTCTGCATCCCGTGCCAGCCCGGTGAGGGCCGCCCCGTCCCAGTCCCCGTGTGGCCCCACGCCCGCAGCCCGCCCGCTCATCCGCATCGCCCCCTCCCCAGGGGAGCCCGGCCTCCTCGTGGGCCAGATCAACCAGCAGGACCCGCTGCGCCGCTTCGACGGCTACGTGAGTGAGAGCGCCACGAGCAAGAAGATCGCGCACAGCGTCTTCCGCAAGGGCGACAGCGCCTACCTCTCAGGTGCGCAGCGGCCGGGGGTGGGGGTGGGGCTCCGGCTCCCCCTGCATCTCACCCCGCTCACCGCAGGCGACGTGCTGGTGATGGATGAGCTGGGCTACATGTACTTCCGCGACCGCAGCGGGGACACCTTCCGCTGGCGTGGGGAGAACGTGTCCGCCACCGAGGTGGAAGGCGTGCTGAGCCGCCTGCTGGGCCAGCTGGACGTGGCCGTGTACGGCGTGGCCGTGCCAGGCAAGCTGGGGTCCCGGGGGGTGACCCTGGGGGCGGCAGTCCCGGCGGGCCCAGCCAGAGACTCGGAGGTACAGGACTGCCACTGCGCAGTGCAAAACCCGCACACCCGTGCATGGCGGACGGCAGGGGCAGCGTCCTTTCTGCGGAGTGCGGGGTGTAGAGCCGCGCTGTCCCAGGCCGGGGCGGGTTCTCAGCCGGCCCTGTCTCCCCAGGAGTGGAGGGCCGAGCGGGCATGGCAGCCATCGCGGACCCCCACGGCCAGCTGGACCCCAACTGCATGTACCAGGAGCTGCAGAAGGTGCTGGCGCCCTACGCGCGGCCCATTTTCCTGCGTCTGCTGCCGCAGGTGGACACCACAGGTGCGGCCCCGGCCCGCAACCTCGGTATTCATCACGCAGCTCCAAGCCTGCTCCACCCCGCCCGTCCTGAGGGGGGCGCTGTTTTCATCTGCGTTTTTCTGGTAGCTTCCGGGGTCCGGCGCTTCTGTTCCCCGCCTCTGCAAGCTCCCTGTGTCTTTCGCCCACCACTGCATTCACATCGCTTTACTTTCTTTTTTGCAATACTGAGGACTGAACCCAGAGCCGCACACTGAGCTCCATCCCCTGACCTTCTTGTATTCTGTATTTTGAGGCAGGGTCTGGCTAAGTCGCTAAATTGCCCAGGCTGGGCTGGAGTTTGCAGTCTTCCTGCCTCAGCTCCCCGGAGTGCTGGGATGCCAGGCGTGCGGCACTACGCCCGGCTCCTTTTTCTTTCTGATTTGGGGAGTTCCTCCTAGTATTTAAGTGTTAAGTCCTTTCCAGTTTCAGACGCCATAAGCCTGTTTTCCTTCTGCCTGCAGGGGACAGAACCCAGGGCCCCCACATGCTAGGCAAGCGCTCATCACAGAGCCCCACCCCCATCCCTTTTTCTGATTCTTGAGTCTATCAACTTTGTCCATAATGCCCTTTGTTGAGAAAACACTTCATTTTGAGACAAATTTTTTTTTTTTTTAAATTGGATGGTTGGTATGCTTGAAGTTTTGTTTTTAAAAATTACTGTCGCACAGCACACTGGGAGGCAGAGGCAGGAGGATCCAAAGGTCGAGCTCAGCTTGGGCAACTTAGCAATTTAATGAGGCCCTATCTCAAAATTTTAAAAAAATTTAAAAAAGAAGAGGGCATAGCTCAGTGTGTGAAGGCCTTGAGTTCAATCCCTAGTACTGCAAACAAAACCCTCAAAATTACCTTCCCAAGTCCAGCGCACATACACCCACCTTATTTCACCCTGCAAACCCATAACCCTTAGCGTTTTTTCTCAAGACCATTCCACAAGCACCTACCCCGGGTGGGAGACAATGTGCGGACAGTCTCTGGGCCCCTCACCGCGAAAGGGCGACCAGGGCAAGGAGTGAGCCGCGAGAATGGCCCGGTGCCAATAAAGCTTTATTGACACATTCGCGGAGCCAGTGCGGGCCCCTGTGGGCTGCTGACCTCTGACCCCGGCTCGAGGCACGACCCTGCTACCCGGAATCGGGACCGCGGGTGATGGGGCGGTCGGGGCCTCTGTCCCAGGGACAGGAGACCCGGCTGGCGGCCTGGGGGACACGTGCTGGCCGAGGTCCCCGAAGCTCCCTGCTCAGCCCGCCCTCCCCACCCCTCCCCACAGGCACCTTCAAGATCCAGAAGACCCGGCTGCAGCGCGAGGGCTTCGACCTGCGCCAGACCTCGGACCGGCTGTTCTTCCTGGACCTGAAGCAGGGCCATTACCTGCCGCTGGACGAGGCGGTGCACGCGCAGATCTGCTCGGGCGCCTTCGCGCTCTGACCTGCGAGAACGACCAAGGCGCGTGCGCGGACCGCTGACGGCGAACAGAGCCGCCCCCCCCCCAACGGCTGGAGTGCGCGTGCGTGGGCCGCCTGGTCTGGGCGTGAGCGGGGCTTGACCGTGGCTCCCCACCTGCCCTGCAGCGGACTGGGACCCGAACGCCGCCGCGCCTCCCACCGGGTCGCGGCCCCCGTCTCCCCGTCCCCTCTCTCCCTCATGATCCTGGTGGGTGGGTGGCTCCCTCGGCCTGGACTGGCCCGGCCTCCCCGCTGTGCCTTAGGAACCCCGCTCCGGCCCTCGCGCAGGCTGCAGTAGCTGCGCGCCGAGCACCCTGCGCCCTGGACACGAAGCACCGCGCCCCGCCCCGCCCCGGCCGCGCTCCCGGTCCTGCGCTGTCCCTGCGGGGGTCTGGGGGCCTCCAGCTGCGCCCGGCCGACTGCTTCGGTCCGGGTCCGGTCCGCGTTCGGCGGGGTCGCTCCAGGGAGCGCCGAGTGCTCGTCCTTGTCGTGCGCCCCCTGGCGGCCGCCACGTGACTCGCGGGCTTTCCCGGTCGGTGTCGCCAGCGGCCTGCTCGGCGTTTGACACCGCGGGGTTTTTGTCCCGCTTGGTTGTAAGAAATAAACCCGCAGGGCCTCTGGCAGCTGCTGCGAGCGGTCGGTTCTTGTCTGTCCGGGGCGCACGGGCGGCACCTGAGTGGCCTCCTCGCGCCTCCTGTGACGGCTCTGCCGAACGGTGCCCGTCCCCCCGGGCCCGGGGCAAGACAGCGGGACAGGCCAGCCGGGTGCCCGAGGTCTCGACTTGGGTCGGAGGAGGGGCTGTGCGCTGGGCAGCTCAGCAGGGACTTCACTCGGGACTGGACCTGGTTGATGGAGCGAGGTCAGGTCGTAAAAGTTCAGGTAACACCGGTACCCGGGACGGACCCCGGGCTTCCACGAGCTGCAGCTCCAGCCCTTTCTTAATTTTTATTTAGAAATGGTCTCACAGTCACTGCGTTTCCCAGGCTGAGCTTGAACTTTCTTTTCTTTCTTTGTTTTGGTCCCGGGGATCGAACTAGGATCCTTGCGCTTGCGCAGCAGGCAGCGAAACCACTGAGCTAAATCCCCGGCCCTTTTTATTTTATTTTTTATTTTTTGGTACCGGGGATCGAACTCGGGTCCTTGCGCTTGCGCAGCAGGCGGCGAAACCACTGAGCTACATCCCCAGCCCTGAGTTTGAACTTTTGATCCTCCCGCCTCAGCCTCCTAGGTAGCTGGGATTACAGGCACAAGGGACAAGTTTCCACCCTCCTAACACCATTAATTCGGGGCTGCGGGCTCATCCCCTGGGGACACTGGAATGCAACACCGCCCCTGCCCCTCCCACCTGCAGCCCCAGGGCAGGGTGACCACTGCCTGTGGGTCCTGCAGCTGCCCTAGGTGGCCAGGGCGGAGGGGAAGCGCGCCTGGCTCACTAACATCTCTTGCAACCTGGAGACCTCCGCACTTGCTCACTGGGGACCCCACTGTGCACATGGGGACCCTGAGTCCTAGGCATCTTTCTTTTTTTTTTTGAGACAGGGTCTCACCGTGTAATCCAGGCTGGCCTCAAATTTCCGGTGTTCCCCCTGCCTCAGCCTCCGGAATTCTGGGACCACAGGCATGGCCCACCATGCCCTGGGCATCTTTCTTGTCCCAAAGCCTACAATGCTGACTGTCCTCATGTTGAAGAAGTTCCCAACAGTGTAATCTGAGGGACTCTCGGGATTGAGCTCTACTGTCCTGTTTTTAATGCATAGCCTTTACTTTCCTAGCAGTTTTAGGTCTGGAGGGAAAGGTGCCAGAGAGGTGGGGCGTCTGCATTCCTGTGCCCGCACCGCTGTCCGTCACCAACAGTCGCTGCATGGGGCCGTGGCAATGTCCGGTTCACTCTCACCCTGTACATCTGCGGGTGCCCAGCACACACATCACGGGGCCCAGGGTTCAAATCCCCAGCTCCTCTCAAACCCCAAAGCAAACGCCTTTTGTCCTGGGACCACCGCCACAGTGCGGATTGGGCATCCCTGATATGAAACACACCAGGCCAGAAATGTTTCAGATTTGGTTTAAAAAACTTTTTTGCATAGCTGCATATATATAATGAGATATTTCAGGGGTGGAGCCTACGTCTAAACACCATAGTTGTTTATTTATTCCATATTTGGAGACAGGGTCTTACTAAGTTGGTAAATTGCCAAGGCTGAGCTTGAACTTGAGACCCTCCTGCCCCAGCTTCCTAGAGTGCTGAGATTACAGACACCCACCACATCCAGTTTAGATACAAAATTTTTGTTTCTCTTGCACCTTATACACACAGTCTGAAGATACAATTATATACTGTTTTCAATAGATGTATCCATGAAACAAGTGCATAATTTTCCACTTGTGGCTTCACACTAGTGCTGAAAAAGTTTTGGATTTGGGGGCCTGAGGGTGAGATTCAGCGGGAGGGTATTTGCTTAGCGTGCATGAGGCCCTGGGGTCAACCCTCAACACCACCCTCCCACACCCCAATAAAAAACAACCCTCAAGTTTTATTTTTTTATGGGGTTTTTTGGTACTGGGGATCAAACTCAGGACCTTGGGCTTGCAGGGCAGGCAACGGAACCACTGAGCTAAATCCCCAGCCCCTCAAGTTTTAGATTTGGGAATATTTCCGATTTGAGGTTTTTCGACGAGGTGTATTCAACATGTATCACAAAAGGAGTTAATTGCTCTAAAATTCTTCACTGCTGGGTGTGATGACACACACCTGTAATCCCAGCACTCGGGAGGCTGAGGCAGGAGGATGGCTGAGTTCCAGGACAGTCTGGGCTACATAGCAAGGCCCTGTTTCAAAAAACAAAACCCTTACTGTTCACCTGTCCGTCCCTGTCCTCGTTCTGTCCCTTGCCAACCACCGATCTTTGTGCTGTGTCCACTTTTGCTTTTCTATATCCCACTCACGCAATGGCCTTCTCGTGCTGCTCTAAAGCAGACGAACCCGTGAGTCCCGTGTCTCCACTTGAGGCCGCCACTCTTTCCAGGTTTATTTTTCCTTTTCAAGGTGCTGGGCCAGCACTCACCAAGTAGCCACACCCTGGCCCATGAAGCCCCCTTTTGTGATCTGCTCAGAGCTCCCTGACTCAGGCCGAGCTCCTGGGGTGGGAAGGAGCCTGGCCCAGCCCCTTCCTGGGAAGACCTCAGTAACAAAGTGCTGCTTAGCAGATGGGTGGCCCTGGGCCCATCCCCAGACCACAAAACTAAAAAGAAAAAAGCCCGGAGGCTGCATGACCATCACCACCACTTAACTGCAGAACACTTTCAGCAGCCCACGAAAACCCTGTGAAGCGCCGTGCGTGCCGTGGTGCACGTGCTGTCCCAGCAGCTGGGAGGTGGAGGCAGGAAGACTGCAAGTTTGAGTTCACTCTGGGCTACACACTGAGGTCAAGTCCAGCCTGAGTTACACAGAAAGAGCCTCTCAGAAAACAGGCCCCATCCTTGGTCACTCCCCCACTCTTTTGCGCCCTCTTAGCAGCAGCTCACCAGCATCCTGGCCTGCGGCCCCGCCTACCCTGAACATTTCCCATCACTCAGCCCCAGGCCATGTGGCTGTGTCTGGCTGCTGTCACTGCCCCCTGTATTGTGTCAGTGCTCCATTCCTTTTCATGGCTGAGTAACTCTGTCGGGCCATATTCCTTATCCAGTCTCTGTTGATGGACAGTTGTTTCCACTTCAGGGCTACTTTAACTGCTATGAACGTCCTCCTGGGGACACACCCAGGTGTGCAAGTGCTGGGTCATGTGTGCACATTGCCAGACTTCGCCAATGTGGCAGAGCCATGTTCCTCATTAGCAATGTGTGTGGGTTTCCCTTGTCTCCATCCTTGCCCGCACCGTTTTTATTACAGCCATCCTCATGAGTGCGAAATGTGACATCTCCCTCTCCCCGCCCCCCCAGACTAGAAATGGAGCCCAGGGCCTCCTGCACGCTAGGCAAGAGCTACAACCCCAGGTCTACAATTTTTTAGGGTTTTTTTTATTTTATGGTGAAAATAATGTGTTTAGAATTAGCTGGCTGGACTCAGTTTAGATCCCAATTTTGTTGGCAGCATCCGAAGCATCATCATCAGGAGCCAGTTGAACATACGCCTTCTTCTCTCCATCAGGCCTATTAGGGTACTGACCTTGGGCACATAAATGTCCTAGAGCTTCTTCACAGCTTGTTTGATCTGGTGCTTGTTGGCCTTGGCGTCCACAATGAACACGCGTGTGCTGTTGTCCTCTGTCTTCTTCATGGCTGACTGTGGTCAGGGGACTTGATGATGGCATAGTGGTCAAGCTTGCTTCTCCTGAGGGTGCTTTTCCGAGGGTATTTCAGCTGCTACCGGAGTCGGTGTCTCGGGACTGCAGAGGGTGGGTGCCATGTGGATTTTCTTCTTTTTGTGGCTGTGGATGCCTTTCAGCACTGCTTTCTTGGCTTTCAAAGCTTTTGCTTTGGCTTCAGCTTTGGGAGGGGCAGGAGCTTCCTTCTTCGCCTTCGGCGCCATCTTGGTAAAAAGGCAGTTTTTTAGGTTTTGAGACAATGTCTCAAGTTGCCCAGGTTGGCTCCAGACTGGGATCCTCCTGCCTCGGCTTCCGGAGTAGCTGAGACTGCAGCCTGCACCAGCACCCCCTGCTTTGTTGTCATTTTCTCCTGCTTTATTATAATTCCGATGTGCACTCCTTGATGGCCAGTGAACACAACAGCTCTTCATGTATCGCTGGCCATTTGCCTATCTTTGGAGGAATATCCATTCAGATACTTTGTCCTTTGAAAAGTTTGTCTTTTTATTGAGTTGTGTGAGTCGTTAATATATTTTGTATACAAGACCTTTACAGATGATTTGTGAAGCCTTTCTCCCATCCTGTGGTTCTGGCCACTTTCTTGATAGTCACCTGGGACACCAGTCCAATTTCAATGAAGCCTGGTTTATCTTCTGTTGCTTGTCCTTGAGGTGCCTAGAAAGGCACAGTAACCCTGACAGGGTGGTATTGGCACAAGAACAGCCATACAGATTAACTATATGTGGATAAAACTCAGAGTGCAGAAATAAGTGGAAATAACTTGGCAGGGTGGCGCATGCCTGTCATCGCAGCACTCGGGAGGCTGAGGCAGGAGGATCGCTGAGAGTTCCAGGCCAGCCTGAGCTACATAGGGAAACCCTGTCTCAAAACAAACATACAAACAGAAAACGACCACTGAAGAAACAAATCGCAACAGACGCAGGAACTTCAAAGCCCACAAAAATATACCCTCTCCCAGGAAACCTGCCCCGAGCTGCACCGAACTCAAAGCTCTGCCTCGCCTTGGCCCTGCAAAGGGCTCTGGCACAGCCTGTAGAGAAGGGCGGGGCCGCCCCACCCAGTCGTGGCTTCACTTGCTCGACTGCGCATGTGCAGAGCGGGGGAGCCCGAGTGGCTGAGTAGGCCTTCGCGCAGGCGCACTTGCGGCCGCCGAGAGCGCTTCCGCCTCCCCACCGCCGCCGTCGCCATGGCCGCGCCCGCCCCGGGCCTCATCTCCGTCTTCTCGAGCCCGCAGGAGCTGGGCGCGTCGCTGGCGCAGCTAGTGGTGCAGCGGGCTGCGTGCTGCCTAGAAGGGCCCCGCGCCCGCTTCGCGCTCGGGTTGTCGGGCGGCAGCCTCGTGTCGATGCTGGCCCGTGACCTGCCGGCCGCTGCCGCCCCTGCCGGCCCCGCCAGCCTCGCGCGCTGGACGCTGGGCTTCTGCGACGAGCGCCTGGTGCCTTTCGATCACGCAGAGAGCACGTACGGCCTCTACAAGGTGAGAGCTACGGCGAGAGCTACGGCGAGAGCTATGGGGGCCGCCGAGGGGCGGCGCCTACCGCTGGAGCTCCGGCTACGGGGGCCCCTGCGGGTCATACCGAGAGGGCAACGCCCACGGCCTGGCCCCGCCCGCTTGTCCTGAGCTCCTGGCTCTTCCGCGTGGGCCGCCCCTTTTATGCTTTATCCCGCAGCCAGGCCTGGGGAACCGCTTGACCGAGGGCCGGAGGTCACACCAAGTCCTCAGACGGGAGGGTCCCCTGTTCTCTGGGCTGGTTCTCAGTGCGCCCTGAGCACTCGCTTCGCATGATCCTGTTCCCAGAGTAGCACGCAAGGTTCAGTACGCAGCTCGCAGGCATGGCCACCTGTCACCCGTTTCACAGACGGGCAAGCTGAGGCAGGGAGGGGCCCACCTGTCAGGTCCGCCAGCCACCAGAAGGGAAGCCCGGTTTTGCGGCTGCTCTGCAACTCCAGAGACGGCACGGGCCACAGGGAGCATGAGTTCCACTGACTTTTTTTGGGGAGGCTGAGGCAGGAGGGTCGCGAGTTCCAGTCCAGCCTGGGGAACTTAGCAAGATTCTGTCTCGAAACAAAAACAAAAAGGACTGAGGAAGTAACTTAGGGTCTTAGCCCTGGGTTCCATGCTCATTACAGCAGGGGGTCAGGGCAGGGATGGAAAGAGAAAGGAAGAAAGAAGGGAAGGGGTTTTGGGGGACTGGGTGGGGGGTAGAGCCCAGTTCGGAGCGTTTGCTGAGCATGCTGGAGGTCTTGGCTTCCATACCCAGCGCCGGAGGAAAAAAAAAAGAGAAAGAAAACGGTGGGCTTTTTTTTTTTTTTGTACTGGGGATCAAACTCGGGACCTTGCACTTTTGAGGCAGGCAGCAGAACCACTGAGCTAAATCCCCGGCCCAAACCTGCATCTTTTTAAAATTAAGAGACTAAACTCGTCAGGTGTGGTGGCGCTCGCCTGTAATCCCAGCACTCAGGAGGCTGAGGCAGGAGGATCACCTCCAGTTTGAGGCCGGCCTGGGCTGCATAGTGAGTTCTAGGGCCAGCCTGAACTGCACAGTGAGACCCTGTCTCAAAAAAACCAAACCCAATAAAATGAAACTCTCATATCCTCCACACCACCTGCTGCCCTCCGCCTGCTGCCCTCCGCCTACTGTGAGGTCCTGGGTGTGGACAGGCCTGTTCCTGGCAGTGGGGAGACATAGGCAGATGGCTTCTCCCTGGAGGTCTCCCTGGGGACCCCATGGGTGCTGACTGTGGTGCGTGGGCCCCAAGGTCCTCATGGCCCAGGCTGGGACCCGTGATTCTGCCTCCTGCAGCAGGGCCATGTGCCACCCGGGGGCCCTGCCCAGTCCCGAAGCCACCCAGTACCTACCCACCCTTGAACCTCCTCTGCCCCGAGAGGTGGTTTCACCAGGGCTCAGCAGCCAGATCCCCAGCATCCTGGCCATGAACGGGTTTCTGTGCCTCACTTTACCCCTCTGTAAGTGGGGCGCATCCCAACTAGAGGCGCCGTCCTCTCTGCCACAGACGCACCTGCTGTCCAGACTGCCGGTCCCCGACAGCCAGGTCATCACTATCGACCCCCAGCTGCCCGTGGAGGCGGCAGCTGAGGACTATGCCAGGAAGCTGAGGCAGGTGAGTCTCCAGGAGCAGCTGCACAGGAGACCTCATCTCCAGAAGGGTCACACGCGTGGTGGGCGGCCTGTGTGATAGCACCAGCAGAAACTGTCGTTGGGCACTCAGAGACACCAGGGGGAGTCCAGGTCCCCCTGCCTGTGGCCCTTGGCCTGTCACACTCATGGGAAGTGGAGTCTGAGACTGGAGTCCATGCAGTTACTGGTGGAGCCAAGCTTGGGTTCTGTTACAGCTCTGACCACCCCTTGGTCAGCCCCGAAACCCCTTGGCTTCCAAGATCCCCAAGTGCACCTGTCATCCCTGCACTCAGGAGGCTGAGACAGGACGATCTTGAGTTTGAGTCCAGCCTGGGCAACTTAGGGACTTAGCAAGACCCTGTCTCACAAAATAAAAGAAAGGGCTGGGGATGGGGCTCTGTGTGAGGCCCTGGGCTCGCCCCCCAGTGCTGCCCCCCAGATTCCAGGTGCTCTAGCCCCAATGTGTGGCATCTCTGAGCCACGCGTCTCTGCCAGGCCTTCCAGGGAGATGCCGTCCCCGTGTTTGACCTGCTGCTCCTGGGCGTGGGCCCTGACGGCCACACCTGCTCACTCTTCCCCGACCACCCACTGCTGCAGGTGAGTGCTGCCAAGCCTGCCACCAGCAGAGGCTCACTGCCCTGCCCTGACCCGGGGCCTCGGGCCTGTGTTCCAGACCCCGGCGGTGGGGGAGACGGAAGGTAAATAACCAGCACCGAGCTGAGTGAGGGCTGAGCAAGCTGGTGTGTACAGCTGGCGAGGAGTGGCCAGGGCAGGAGGGTGCAAGTGCCAGTCCAGCAGGGCAGCCTGGCGATTTAGCGAGACCCCGCCTCAAGATGTATACAAGGGCTGGGGATGCAGCCTGTTGTGGAGGCTCTGCACCCAGTCCGGGGACCAGGGAAACAGCAGAGATGACTGTCTGCCCTGCCCCACCCCGCCCTTCCTCCCTCCCCAGGAGCGGGACCGGATCGTGGCCCCCATCAGTGACTCCCCGAAGCCCCCGCCGCAGCGCGTGACTCTGACGCTCCCCGTGTTGAACTCGGCCAGGACCGTGGTGTTCGTGGCGACAGGGGAAGGCAAGGCCTCTGTGCTGAAGGTAACCCGGGGTGCCTGTTGGCAGTCTCTGCAGGAAGTCAGCTGCGTAATTCTCAGGAGGGAGGGGCATCGGCGCTGCCCCCTAACTGACCCTAACCCGGCCGTTTCTTGGGTCTGGAAATGACACTGACGACCAAAGCTGCGCTCGAGGTAAAGTCTTAGCATTAACATGCAGCTTTAAAAATGATTAAATAGGGCCAGGCATGGTGGTGCACACCTGGCATCCCAGCACTCAGGAGGCTGAGGCAGGAGAATCACTGTGAGTTCCAGGCCAGCCTGGGCTACACAGCGAGACCCTGTCTCAGAAAAACCAAAGGGGAGAAAAAGAAAGGAACCTGGTCTCCATGTGGCCCAGGGTCCCAGGTGAGGCCCCTCCACCCTGTCCCCCCAGCGCATCCTGGAGGACAAGGACGCGGCTCCGCTGCCGGCTGCGCTGGTGCAGCCGCACACCGGGACGCTGCGCTGGTTCCTGGACGAGGCCGCCGCGTGTCTCCTGTCTGTGCCCTTTGAGAAGCACTCGACGCTGTAGCCCCGGAGCTCCCTGTTCGGGGACCCCAGCCCCCACTTCCCTTTGGAAAAGCCAGGGGCCTGGAGTCACCTGGGTTGGCCACCGCTGCCCTGCCAGGCCGGTCCGCACCATGGGAGATTAAAGGGCGGGAGATTAAAGGGCGTTGCTGGAAACCTGGAGCCCCTGTCCTGGATGGCCCCAGCGGAGGAGCCCATCCCCGGGTGGAGGGTGGAGGGTGGCGCTGTCATCCTGGGTGGGCACCAAGAGTGGATTTCCTGCAGCAGAAGCACCACACACTGAGCTGGGCAGGGTGGGAAGCTGAGGCAGGAGGATCCCAAGTTCACGCCTAGCCTGGGCAACTTAGACCCTGCCTCAAAATAAGACTAAGGGGGCCGGGGATGTAGCTCAGTGGTTTCGCTGCCTGCTGCGCAAGCGCATGGATCCAAGTTCAATCCCCAGTACCAAAAAAAAATAAGACTAAGGGGTGTGGTTGCAGCTCAGCATGGAGGAGACCCGGCTCCAGTTCACTGCCGGACACACACACCCGAGTGCCCGCACCCCCCAGCAGCAGACATGGGACTGCAGCTGCCCCAAACCTGGCCTGTCCCTTTGTCCCGCTGAGCTCCGACCCAGACCCAGCTGGGAGTGGGCCTGTCACCCTGCACACTGCTGACGCCGGCCCTGAGCTGGGGGGGGTCAGTGGGGGTGTGGGCGCTTTGTGGGGGCAGGGCGGTCCCTGGAGGCCCAGGGCGAGCACCAGGCGAGGTGGAATTGAAACCACCACGTGCAGGAGGCTTCGTGGGAGCAACAGTGCTGAAACCACAGAGAGGGAAGTTTCCTCCTTGTCCCTTGGTGTGAGGCGGGGACCCGGGCGCAGGTGGGGCAGGTGGCTGTGAGCCCCTGAGCTGTGTGTGGTGGGGCCCTGGAAAGTAAAGAGTGGGCAGCAGTGGGCACAAGGGCCCCTTCAAGGCCCAGGGAGGCGGCCCAGGGCTGCTGTCGCAATGCCACAAGCCCTTTGAAGAGCTGGGCGTGGTGATGCACGCCTGTAATCCCAGCATTTGGGAGGCTGAGGCGAGAGGATCCCCTGAATCCAAGGTCAGCCTGGGCTACAGAGACCTGTCTCAAACTAAAACAAAAACAACTCTTGTGGGGTCCGGGGATTTAGCTCAGTGGTGCCCACAGTGGCCTCGAAAGCTCCAGGTCCTGAGTTCGATCCCCAGTACCAAAACAAAAAACAAACCCTTTTGGTACCCCAGCTGTTATTCTGTTGGTGTACCATTGTGTGCCTGTTTGGGGTGGCTCGTAGTCCAGTATGGCTGCTCTCGTTCCAGCCATTGTGTCCACATTCCAGCCAGTGGAAGAGGAGGGGGAAAAGGAGATTCCCTCCAGGGAAACATCCTAGGAGTCACCCTGGACCTCCCCCTCACATCTTTATTCCAGAAGATGTTGTCTGCCCCAGGTGTCAAGGAGGGGCACTGTGAGATATGGAGCAGCCACAGGCCCCGCTGCTCTCAGGAGTGAGGTGTGGTAGCCGGGGTGCTCTTGCTCCAGCTGGGACCCCGGCACCCAGAAAGGGCCCGGGGCCCTCCGGCCACCAGCTCTCACTGCCTGACGGCCCTGCTGGGAAGCCCTGGGCAGCCCTGTGTGTTTCCTGTGAAGGAAACCCAGCTGCTCCCAAGCAAGGGGCGCTGGAGGCTTCTGGGTCTGTGGGCTCCCCATGCCTGGGGTTTCCAGGTGGGGCACTGAGGTCAGAATCAGGGTTGGGGGGTCCTGGAGGAGGCCAGCCTGGGAAGAGAGATCCCTTTTAGAAGCCCCGCGCCCCAGGCCTTTCTATTCCTTATTTTGAGACAAGGTATTGTATAGGGTGGGCTCGAATTTGTGATCCTCCTGCCTCAGCCTCCTAGAGGAGACATTTTATTTTATTTATTTTTTAGGAGACATTTAAAAAATAAAATCTAAGGGCTGGGGATTTAGCTCAGTGGTTCCACCGACTGCCTCGAAAGCGCAAAGTTCGGAGTTCGATCCCCAGTAGCCCCCCACCCCCACAAAAAAGAAAAATCTAAGTCAGGCGTGGTGGCACACACCTGTGGTCCCATTTGGGGAGGCTGAAGCGGGAGGATCTGGAGCTGCAGCCCAGCCGGGACAACTTAGCAGCTTAGCATGACCCTGCCTCAAAAAATGAAAAACGTGGGGATGTGGCTCAGGGCAGAGGACATGGGTTCAACCCCGGCGGGGGCGGGGGGAAGGAAAAGTGAAAGAGGAGTTTGGGCCGGGCTAGTGCGGCAGGTGCTGGCGGGCGGGGAGGTGCTGGGTTGGTTTGCGCGCCGGAGCACAGCCGGGAGCTGGCAGCGCGCAGCAGGATGGGGGCGCAGGCCTCGAGTCCCCTGGACAGGCGGCAGCGCGAGGAGCTGCAGGGTGAGCGGGGCAGGCGGGGCGCGTCTTCCTGCCTCAGCCTCCTGGAGTGCTGGGCTCGCTAAGCGCGGTGGCCTGTGTGGCCGGTGGGCCGCGGGGCGGTCGTGGGGGCGCAGCGGGAGGCCGGGTCGCTGGAGGCTCGGCCGCTCCACCGCGCCTTTCGGTCCCCAGGCCGGGTGTCCACGCTGCTGGGCAGCTTCCTGCCTGGTTATCGCGCGCAGCTGGCGGTGGCCGTGCTGCGGCAAATCGCGCTCGAGCTGCGCCCCCAGGAGCCCTCGGGACCCCAGCTGAGCCGCAGCAAGGTGGGTGCCGGGGGAACCTTCCTCGGGAGTGCTTCCTGCCTCAGCGTCGGCGCCCTGAACCGACTCTGCAGACCCAGACCCACCAGCGCTGGGCGTCCGGGGCGAAGGGCGGGGCTGATGGGCTGGGCCGGGCGCTCGCAGTGGGCTGCCCGGGAGGGGCTCCAGCGGCCACCCTCTGGCCTCAGCCTCCCGAGCAGAGCAGCGGGGACGACGGGCGCCGCCCCGCGCCCGGCTCCAAATCACTTTTGCCTTGCTGTGTGTGGGTCGAAGACTTGGATCCGGAGCCGTGGGCACGAAGGGGCTGCCGCGCGTCCTTTGAATAGTGATACTTTAACAGTGTCACCGCGGAGCCTCTGGCCCGGCGGCTGCGGAGAACCAGGGAACGAGCGCCCCAGTCCCCGCCGCGCGCCCAGACCGAGGTCACCGGCGCGTATCGCGACCCGGGAGGGGGAAGAGCCGGGAGGGCCGGGGAGGCGGCAGTGCGCAGATCCGGCCGACCACCAGGGCACCTGCGCCTGAGGACAGCGCTCGCCCGTGGCCGGAAGCGCGTGGTGGCTGCAGGCTTTCCTTCAGGGCCCCGCCAGGCCCGGCGTGGTGCGCATCCGTGTAACTCCAGTACTTGGAAGGCTGAGGCAGGAGGATCTCAACTTCAAAGCCAGACAGAGAAACTGAGACCTTATCTCAAAACACAGGGGCTGAGGGCGCGGCTCCGCTCTGGCCGGGCAGGCAGAGGCCCTGGGTTCAAATCCCCGGCTAAGAGGAGGGAGCAGGAGGGCCTGGAAGCCGTCCGGGGCGGAACCCCGCAGCCCGGGCCCTGACGCCGCCCCGTCCCCTGCAGAAGCTGCCCCGAGTACGAGAGCACCGCGGGCCCCTCGCCCAGTTGCGCGGCCGCCCGCCGCGGGGGCAGCCCGTGTTCTGCGTCCTGCGCGGGGATGGGAGGCTGGAGTGGTTCGGCCGCCAGGAGGTGAGCTCGCCTCTGCCCGCCCTGACGGTCTGGGTCTCGGGCCCGGTCTCCTCCGCCTCCCCGCGGGCCTCTGCGTCACCCTCGCCCTCGCCCTCGCCCTCGCCCCCGCAGGACTTCGAGGCCGGGCGGCCTCCGCTGGGCGCGGTGGCGCTCACGGGCTACGCGCTCCTGACCTCGCAGCGCGAGTACCTGCACCTGCTCCGCGGGCTGGGCCCGGGCCCCGAGGGTGAGGCTCCCTGGCCCGCTATCGGCCCGCCCGGCACCGCCCCCCGACATCCCGCCCCGATGTCCGGGCCGCTGCAGGGGTTGCAAGCATCCCCGGGTGGGGTCAGCGTTGCCTTGGGCCGGCCTCCTGCTCTGCCACGGAAAAAAACCCACTGTTGAAAGGGCAAGAAAGAGCGTGCGCCTGTCATCCCAGCACTGGGGAGGCTGAGGCAGGAGGGTCGCCACGAGTGTGAGGCCAGCCTGGGCTCCACAGTGAGACCCTGTCTCGACGACAACAACAACAAAAAGCAACAGCAGCCCACCCCACACAGGTTTTATGCGTTTAGATTGATTTTCGGAGCCTGGTGGAAGCCAGGGCCTCCCTCTCCCGACCCATGCAGCTCACAGTCCCGGTGGGTTCCTGAGGCGTGAACAGGAGTCCTGGGCTGGAGTGCCCGGGACTCCCACCCTCCCGATTCTTGGGTCTTATTACAGTCTGAGTTCATCACTCTGGAAATCAGAACAAAACACCCAGGATTTAGGAGAATCTGCAACAAACATTCGCTCACTTGGTCACCAGCATCGCTATGCGGTGTTCTGCTGTTTTTTGGTTTTTGGTGTTCTGAGACAGGGTCTGGCTGTGTAGCCCGGGCTGGCCTTGACCTCAGGCGACGGTGCGCCACCGCGGGGTCCCTCTAGCGTCACCGTTCAGCTCCCTTCACCGGCAGGGAAACCAGGGCGGGGGTACTGGGGACCCTGAGCGCTTGGGCCGCCGCCCCCCGCAGGCTCTGAGCCGCTCCTGGAGGCGCCCGTGCGCGCCCCGCTCCTCCTGCAGCACCCCTTCCGCCGGCACCTCTGCTTCTCCGCGCCGTCTGCCGAGGCGCAGCACGCCTGGAGCCTGGCCCTGCAGGGTGGCATCCGACTTCGGGGCACAGGTGGGGTCTGGGCCTCAGTCTTTCGGCCCATAAGATGGGTTGTCAGGGGAAAGAGGCCCTTATAAGGGCTCACACTAGGGTGGCGGGGATACCTGTAGAGATCAGCCCGGGTGGTGGGTGGAAGGGACAGCCTCCTGGAGATAAGGATGTCCGGCCTGGGATCGGCCAGGTGGAGTGGGGACAGGACTGGCACAGTCGGGCAGGTTGCTGACTGCACAAGGTCCCAACTTGAGGAACTGCAGGGTGGCCTCGTGTGGTCGGAAGGCGGGGGCGCGTGCAGGCGTCCCTTCTGTAAGCCGAGGAGAGCCGTCCGAGGGTGGCGGGGGGCCTAAGGGAGTCCCCGGGGCGGCCCAACCGCTCAGTCCTGCAGCGCAGCCGGGACCCAGCGGCCCGCGCCTTCCTGGACGCCGTGCGGCTCTACCGGCAGCAGCGGGGCCACTTCGGCGAGGACGACGCGATGCTGGGCTCAGACGCCGAGGTCAGTGCCCCGCCCCCTGCGCCCTGCGCCCTGCGCCCCGCGCCCCGCGCCCCGCGCCCCGCCCACCGCAGTGTCCGCAGGTGCTGAGCGCGGTGTTGCTTCGGGAGCTGCTGCCTGAATGGACGAGGACGGAGGGCGCCGCGGCGGGGCGCGGGGGGGCCTGGGCGTTGACCGAGGTAGGGACCACTCCGCCCCCACGCGGGAACTCCGCGCCAGCCGGCGGGCCCCGCCTCACCCGTCCCCTCCGCACCCCATCGCCCCCGCAGCTCCTGGACGCCGTCTACGGCGTGGTTCTGGCCGCGGCCTCCGCCGGGCTACGCGCCTTCCAGCCGGAGAAGGACGAGCTGCTCGCGGGCCTGGAGCTGGCCCTGCGCCCCGACCTGGAGCACACGCTGCGGCTGCGCACGCGTGCCGCGGGCAGGCTGCAGGGTGAGGGGCGGGGCTGAAGGGGGTGGTGGGGGGGAGCATGGGGCGTGGCTCCCCAGGAGGTAGACCTGACCTGGTCGGGAAGGGGCGGGATCAGGGCAGAGGGTGTGGGTTGTCAGAAAGGGTGGGGTCAGGATAAGAAGGCGTGGCCTGGCAGGAAGCCCGGAACCACGGTAAAGGAGAGGTGTGTGGTAGGGAAGGGGTGGGGCTGGGGTGGGCGGGGATTGGGGGCGTGGTCAGGTCTTGAAGCGGTGGGACTAGGTAGAGGGGGAGAGGCCTGGTTTGGAAAGTGCGTGATTGATTGGGGCGCGGCCAGGGCTAGGGGAGTGATCTTGCCTGGGTGGGTGGGGCCGGGTATAGGTATAGGTGGGGCGTGGTAGGAAGGGGAGAAGCTAAAGGATTTGGAAGAAAGCCAGGTGATGGTGCGGGGCGGGGCCTCGAGTCTACAGTTCAATATTCTGGAAGGGACCCTGGAGGAAAAGAGGTGTGGGGCCACATGGGGGCCCTAAATGCTGAGTGGGCGGGTCCTGGAGGAAGGGTGGGGGTCGTGATAGGTGGTGTGGCCCCACCTGACGGATTGGCCAGCATGGGGGGGTAATCCGGGTGGAGGGCGTGGTCTTTATCGGGAATGGGTGGGTCAGAGTAGAGGGCGTGGTTTTCGGGGAGGGCGGGGCCAGAGAGTGGGCAGAAAGCCAGGGTGGGTAGGAGGCGGGGCCTAGTCGCCAATAGGCCTGATGGGCCGTGCAGGAAGGAGAAGAGGGGCCTAGAGGGTGAGTGGGCGTGGCCGGGCCACTCCAAGGGCGAGGCGGGTTGGGTGGACGGACGAGCTAGGCCAAAGTGGGCGGCTCTGGGGGGACGGGCGAGCGGGCTGAGCCGGGCGGAGGTCAGGCCGGGACTCGGGCAGGGCAAAGTGGCGCCACTCCACTCCGCAACCAAACGCGGTTCGGATCCGACTCTGTCTCCTGGCGGTCGGGCCGACTGTCCGAGGTGAGCTCAGTTTCTCACTTGTGCGGTGGGGCGGTCAGGGTTGCTGGCTTCGCCCTTCCCGGCCTGTCGCTGAGCCGGGGACCCAGCGGCGTGTCTACACCCGCAGCGGAAGTCCAGGCCCGGCTGGAGGCCTGCCTGCAACGGAGCGTGGACCTGCAGCTGCCCCAGCTTGTGCGGACGCTGCTGAGCACCGTAGAGCGCGTGCTGGGCACCGTGCAGACGCTGCTCGCTCGGGGCGTGGACCGCGTGTGCAGCCGCCTGCGAGAGAGCCAGCTGGGGGCGAGGCTGCGAGGAGCGGTCAGTGGGCGGGGCGGGGCCCCCCCGAGAGCGGGTGGGCGGGACTGTGGGAGTGGGCGGGGCCAGCGGGCTAGAGCCCGCGTGGTGATGCACGGCGGTGATCCCAGCCCTTGGGGCTGGGATGTAGTTTGGTCTGCAGGCTCTGGGTTCGAGCCCCAGTTCTGTCAGAAAGAGAGTGGAGTTTAAGTAGTCAGCCTTGGGCGCCTGGCCCTCCACCCGCCGCCCTGCAGTCGACCTGCTGTCCCTGACGGCGTCTTCCCGGTGGCGCGGCCAGGTGCACTCGCTCGGGGAGCTGCCCTGGGACCCCGAGCTCATGCACCTCTGCTACGGAGAGGCTGAGCGCGGCCGGGGCCGCCTGGGGCAGCTGGCGGCTTCGTTCGGCTTCCTGGGGACGCAGAGCCTAGTGTTTGGGGCGCAGGACCTTGCCCAGCAGGTGAGAACGGTCGACATAGCCCCATGGGGTGGTCACATGCGGGCAGGGATCCCTGAGTGACCGCACCCGGTCTCTGGTGGACAGGGCCAGGGACCGGGCAGTGACCCCACGTGGTGGTCAGGGCTGCAGGGGCATTGAGGTGCTGTAGGACCCGCTGGGACCTCCAGTTGAGACCGAGGAGAGAAGAGTGAGGCGGAGCTCATCCCGGGTGGAAGGAAGAGCCCAGAGGAAAGTCCTGGGCATTTGCAGGGCCAGGGCATTTGGAGAGGCTGTGTTGCAAAGCAGAGCAGAGAGGTGGGGGAGGGACCGACCAGGCTCAGGAGTGGAGGAGGCAGAGAGGAGGCCTGAGCCACGTTGGGGCTTGGAGGAGAAACAGGAAGTGTCCTGAAGGCCACGGACGTGGCACCTGCTGATGGACATGGCTGGTGAAGGAGAGAGGGACAGATGTGACATCCCAGTGCTGCCTGGCACAGTTGTTCAGTGCACACACTGCACAAGAGTGCCCAGCTGTGGAGGCCAAATCTGGGGGCTGCTGCATCCCCGAGTCTTGGTACCCTGGCACCAGGGGAAGGCGGAGGGAGCTCAGCAGGCCCGGGCACAGTGTGATCACTTCAGTGCATTCCCACAGCTCATGGCCGATGCTGTGGCCACCTTCCTGCAGCTGGCCGACCAGGGTCTAAGCGCCAGCCTGGACCGCGACCAGGCAGCCCAGCAGCTGGAGAAAGTCTGGGGCCGTGTGCTGAAGGTGAGGTGGTGGAGGGGCACAGAGCCTGGGGATGCGGGTCACTGGACCGTGCTGTGTCCCGCAGAAGCTGTCCTCAGACAGCGCGGCGGCTCGGAGCGAGTTCGTGCGGGGCTGGCTGCTTCGCATCCTCCTGCCTTTCGTGCTGCACTGCCTGGAGCCCAGCAGCCAAGCGGTGAGCAGGGCCAGGGCGTCCCTGGGGCTGGGACACCGGGTGGGAGGTGACTTGACAGCCTGCATCCACTGGGGGTAAGGGTCCTGAATCACCTCTTTGTTTGGTTTTGTTTTTGGTACTGGGGATCGAACTCAGGTCCTTGTGCTTGTGCAGCAGGCAGTGAACCCACTGAGCTAAATCTCCAGTCCTGGTTTGGTTTTTTGAGACAAGCTCTCTCTATGTAGCTCAGGCTGGCTTTTAACTCACTGTGTAGCTAGGCTGGCATTTAACTTGCTGGCGATCCTCCTGCCTCAGCCTCCTGAGTTCTGGGTGGCCTGGTGGAATCACTTCTTGCAGGACCCGCATGTGGGTAGGCTTCGGCACATGCGCCCCTGGTTCATCTAGATTTCTGTGTGCGGTGCTAGGGAGTTGAGGTCACCCCAGCCAGGCAGGGGTGGTGCGGCTGAAGCCACACCGGGCTGGTCGAGGTTCTGCCACCAGCCTGCCCCCTCCCCGTCCCCGTCGTGTTCCAGGAGCTGCCCGAGCTGCACGGGGGTGACCTCGGCACAGGCAGCCAGGCCCTGAGCACTGCGGGCATCCTGGAGGACGTGGTCCGCGGGGTCCTGCTGCAGAGGATTGACCGAGGTGAGCCTGCCTGCCGCCTGAGAACACCTGCCCTTCGACCAGGGTCAGGACCCAGAGAGGGCCGGGGTCAGCCAGGGAGCCCCTATGGAGGGCACTGCAGGTGTCCTCAGGCTGAGAGGAGGCAGTTTGGAAACGAGGCACAGGTTTTCACATTTGTTCATTCAGCAACCGCTCACCATTTCTCTCTGGCTGGCATGGAGGCCTCCAAGAGTTCCTGGGCTTGGGGTTCAGCCCTCAGGAGCCCCAGGGCTGGGAAGCAGCTCTGTAGGGATCTCTCTCCTTCCCGCTTCATCAGTTCATGCATGAGCCCGTGATCACTGAGACATGTGTGTTGGCGGGGGGGCGGCTGATGGCAGGCAGTGGTGGTTCAGGGATGTCGCAGTGTCCACATGACTGGGATACAGGGCCTTGAGCCAGAAGCAGAGGAGTTTAGACTTCATTGCATGGGCCATAGGGAGCCACAGAGGGTGAGAGAGTGAGAGCAGTTGGACTAGAAGCTGTGGACGAGGCCAGGCCAGGTCCTGGGGACAAAGAACAGGCCCCCAGCAGGGGCAGTACCAAGGACATACAGCCCAGGAGTGTGGGGAGGACTGACAGGAGGCTCAAAGGGCCAGAGTTTGAAGGACAACAGAGACAGGAGGGACACAAAGGCCAGAGAGATGGCAGAACCTAGATATGGTGGGGTCCCCAGAGCCAGGGAATAAGTTTAAGGCTGTCTTTGGTCTGTGGGCAGCCAGACAAAGAGAACTGAATTGCTTTCGAACAGCAGAAGTCTTAAATACAAAATCGCAATTGTTTGGCAGCAAAATTAAACCCAGAGGCAGGGAATGGGGATGAGGGTCCTAGAGTTTGCCTGATCTGTCATGGACTTGTGCCGTCTGTGGGCCAGCATGGGGGCGAGGCTGGCAGGGCTGGCTGGGTGGAGTGCCTGGGATTGGCGGGCCATGTCTGCATGGGCACAGTGTGGCAGGGCTGTTGGTGCCATCGCAGGATTCCTGGCTGGGATCTGCCTCTACTGGGCCTCCCCTTTTGGGAAAAACTGTGGAGCCTATGAGGTGCAGGCACCCCAGATGTGTCCAGTGGTTCATCTCTGGTTTCAGAGTTGCAGGAGGCCCTGGGTGCGAGCCACACATCCTGCGGTCTGGTGGGCCACTCACAGCCCCCCTGTGAGCAGGGGACAGCAGGTGAGGACAGGGTTCTCCTGAGGTTGATGCCCACAGAGAGGAGTCACAAGGACCCACATAAAGGAGACAGAGTCTTAGGCAGGACGGTGGGTGGGCCCTGAATTCATTCACCCAGAGCCGAGCCAGTGGGTGTTTGGGTCCTGGCCTCTCACACTAACAGCTATGCCGCTGGCAAGCTGGCCCTCCACATGGCCGATCCGCGTCCACAGTTCAACCATCCGCAGATCAAAAGTATTTGGGAAAAGCCAGGGGACCTGGCACATGCCTAGCATCCCAGCACACGGGAGGCTGAGGCAGGGGGGTCGCAGGTTCCAGGGTGGCCTGAGCAACATATGACTTAGGGTGGCTTTGTCTCAATTATAAGAAGAGGGGGCAGGAGCTGGGGTATAGCTCAGTGCAGGGCCCTGGGTTCAATCCCCACTACCACGAAAAGGAAGTTGGGGGAAATCGCAGCTGTCTGCCACCTGGCTCCCACCTGGGCCGCTTCTGAGCAGCCTAGCGGTGTTTGTGGCTCCTTCCTGGAAAAGCTGCCTGTTCCCATTAAGCCATTGCTGCCCACCGAGCCTTTATCACATGCCACTCCTGGCTGCACCTGAGGTGTTGGTGCCCTTGTGAACCTCAGCACTTTACAGAGGGGGAAACTGAGGCTCAGGTCTGACATGGCAGCCGGATCCGGCCCCGCCGCCCCTGGCCTCCTCCCAGGACGTCCGAAGCTGTCTGCACCCCCGTCTCTCACTGCCGGCACCAGCGAGATTCCCAGGCCAGGCCTCACAGCGTTCCTGTTCCTCCGTTTCTGACCCAGCAGCCCAGCCTCAGCGCCCTTTGTCCCTGAGGCCTCTGGGCAGTGGTCCGAGTCTCCTGCGGCTGCCCCATCCCATTGCTTTTGTTTTGAATCGATGATTAAATTGAACTTAAAATGCCACTGGCCATTCCTTTGTGATCTGGGCATATTTCTTAGTGAACTGTCCGTGGCTTTCAGGCACTCTTCCCTGAGGGGTGTGTATCTTTTTCTTATGGGTGACTAGTAATGCTTTCCACGTTAAGGGTAGGAAAGGTTTGTGTTACAGGTTACAGCTTTTTTCTAAGTTTACAGTGAGCTTTTTAGGTTTGCTTATGCTCCCAAATCTCCTGTCCTTTCCTTTTTCCTTTCTTTTCTTTTGGTGCTGGGCTGCATAGTCCTCTTTCTTTTTTTGGTGCCAGGGCCTCTCGAGTGCCAGGCGAGTGCTCTGACTTGGGATCAGTTCCGGAGCTCAGGGAGAAGTCCCGGCCACCTGTCCCTGTCGCTTGGCGCCTCCGGTCACAACCTCTCCAGCTGCTTCCGGAGCGACTTCCCTGCCTGTGTGAGACCTAAAACCACAAGATGTACTTTGCCCACCTGCTTGTGATAAGTGTTCAGCCGTGCCCTGGCAACAACTACCCCAATGTCCCAGGTGTAACCGTTTGCAGCTTGGGTACGCAAGGCACAACCAATCAGGTTTAATTGCCAATCTAGAACCTTGCTGTAACTACTATAAAAACCCCTGCTGATTTGGAGTCGAGGCTCTCAATCTTGACCCGCTTTGGTGGTGATGGTTGGGAGTCCCTGCTTGAGCTTGAATAAACAACCCTCGTGTGTTTACATTGGAATCGGCTCCTTGGTGGTCTTTGGGGACCTCGAAATCTGGGCACAACACCTGCCTCCTGGGTGAGAATTTCCTGCTGTTGTCTCCTTCAGTGAACCTGCCCTGCATGAACAGGGGTGCAGCTCCAGCCCTGCAAATGGGGAGACTGTGCCACCTCTGCCTGCTCACTCTGGAGGATGAGGTGCTGTTCTGCGGCAGGGAGACTCGCCCTGGCCCCTCGGACACAGCCACTGTTTGCTCTGGGTTCTGAGTCCCTCCAGCTGGGACAGGCCCCGCGGGGAATGGTGTGGCAGACTCAAGAAACCCCTCTCCTCTGGAATCACACAGTAGAGCACTCTTCCCTTCCTGTCTGGACAGGGTGCAGATCCGGCCAGAGGCCCCAGGGGACCTTGGATCCTGCAGCCGCCAAAGGGGCCGGCCCCTTCCTTCTGTGCCCACGCCTGCTCCAGAAACACTGGTCCACACTGGCTTCGTGCAGGGGCCACTGCGGGGAAGGGACCGGAAGCTGCCGGAAGAGGAGAATGGGGTGTGTGTCCTGTGACGCCACGCTGGGCACGCGTCTAGCCAAACATCATTCCAAATGTTAAAGAGCGACACAAACACCATCAGCTGGATGGAGTGGTGCACGCTGGGTCCCCAGCACTCTGGGAGGCTGAGGCAGGAGCGTCACAAGTTTGAGCCCAGCCCGGGTAAGTTTGTGACTTAGTGAGACTCTGTCTCAATATGATACACAAAGGGCCGGGGATGCAGCTCAGTGGGTACATGCTTGGCAAGCGCAAGGGCCTGACGTCGATTCCCAGGACCAATAAATAAATGAATAAATGAATGAGGCTGGGACACCAGGGCTTAAGGCTCGACAGCCCTCAAAGCGGGGAAACGGAGGCACAGATCTCTTAGGTCCTCACTGGCCGGGTCCCCCGGTTTCATCCACAGGGAAGTCGGACGGCGCCGACGGCGGAGGGAGGGCGCCTGGATGCAGGGCGGGCTTCGGAACCAGGTCCCAGACCTCGGGGGTCTCCGCGTTTAAGGTTGCGGTGCGGTCGGGGCCTGCCGGTGACGTCACAAGGGCAGGCAGGCTGTCCGGCGGGAAGTGGCGCAGCGGGGCCTTAAGGTTGCGCGGGGGCGTGGCCTGCGAGGCGGGGCTGACTGCGGACTTCGCGCTGAGCGCGCTCCTCCCCTTTAAGGCGCGGGCCGGATGACGGCCGCTCCTTTAAGGCGCGGCCCGCGGCGGAGGCGGTTTAAAGGCGACGCGTGGCGCGATGGCGGCGGCCCCACGCACAAGTCGGCGGCGCGGGCGGCCGCTCTCCGGGCCGCTGCCGCTGCTGCTGCCGCTTCTGCTGCTGCTGGCGCCGTCCCCGGGGCCCCCGCCGGGCGCCGCCGCCTACTTCCCCGAGGAGCGCTGGAGCCCCGAGTCCCCGCTGCAGGCTCCGCGCGTGCTCGTCGCGCTGCTGGCGCGCAACGCGGCCCACGCGCTGCCCGCCACGCTGGGGGCCCTGGAGCGGCTGCGCCACCCGCGCGAGCGCACGGCGCTGTGGTGAGTGGCGCGGCCCCGACTGTGGCCGCTGCCTGTTTCCCCCAGCGGGAGTCGGGTGGTGTCTGGGCTGAGCGGGCCGGCGCCGGCGCTTTTGTGTCGTCACCGTGGGTCGCCGCCTACCGAGTTTACCGGGAGAGGTAGCTTGGGCCCCACAGGCCTCCGTCCCCGCCGAGCCCCTGACCGCTGACCGCGCGGCCCCTGCCTGCGTGTCGAGTGGGAGCGCGATCCCAGCGCACGGAGGGTGTGGGTCCCGGAGAGGGAGAGGGAGGTGGTACGGGGCTCACCGTGAAGGCTCCTTTTTAAAGCCAAGTCCCGGGCACTTGCGGGGGACTTCGGCTCGCGCCGTAATCTCAGCGGCTCAGGAGGCTGAGGCGGGAGGACTCCCAAGTTGGAGCCCAGCCCGGGCAACTTCAGCAGACGCTGTTGCGAAATAGAAAGGCCCGGAAGGCCCGGGTGTCCAGTGGTGAGCACTGGCCGGGCGGGCTCAGGGACCCCAGACTTCCCTGAGTAGTTCCCCCCTGAGTAGTTCCCTCCCCTGTCCACGACCCTGATGGGGAAACAGGCGCGGACGGGGACGGGGTCTGGGCTGGGGATAGGGCGTCTGGGCAGCCTTGCCGGTGCTGCTGCCGCCTCAGTTTCTCCTCAGCTGCAGCTGTCACATTCCTCCCACAGGGTGGCCACGGACCACAACGCGGACAACACCTCTGCCGTGCTGCGGGAGTGGCTGGTGGCCGTGAAGGGCCTGTACCATTCCGTGGAGTGGCGGCCGGCGGAAGAGCCCAGGTGAGGCTTGCCTCTCCGTCCTGGCCTCGCAGTGGGCCTACTCCTCCCCTGGGCCTCCGCCCCACCTCCCCTGCTTCGCCTGGGCACCCCTTGTTCTTTATCTCCATCCCACCTAGCTTAGCTTTCCCAGGAGCCCTGGAGCCTCGGTGTGTTGCCCAGAGTGGCCTCAGGCTGATGGGCTCAAGAGATCCTCCTGTCTCAGCCTCACAAGTTCCTGGGAAGGCAGGTGTGAGCTACCTTGCTCCACTCTAGGATGTACTTATTCTGGTACTAGAAATTAACCCCAGGGTCTTTGGACTGAGCTACGTCCCCAGACCTTTGTATTTTTTTAATTTTATTTTTTATTTTTTGGTACCGGGGATCAAACTCAGGTCCTTGTGCTTGCGCAGCAGGCGGCGAAACCACTGAGCTACATCCCCGGCCCTGACTTTTTATTTTTTGAGACAGGGTCTGGCTGTGTTGTCCAAACTGGGCTCAAACTTGTGATCCTCCTGCCTCAGCCTCCAGAGTAGCTGGGATGGCAGGCGAGCGTTACTGTACCCTGCCTGGACTTATTTCTTATGCCACTTGCTTACTCTGACTGACTCAGAGCCCAGAGCCCCAAGGGGTTATGTCCTCTCCCTGCCGCCCTGCCACATGTGGGCGGCCCCTTCCCTTCCCCAGACGTTGCACTTGCTGAGATGCCTGCTGGGGACAGTTTCCATCCCCTCCTCCCCATTCCCCGGTCCTGTCCTCCCAGGAAGTCCCCTGACCCCGGGAGGCCGGACCTCACAGGCTGCCATCTCTGCAGGTCCTACCCCGACGAGGAGGGCCCCAAGCACTGGTCCGACGCCCGCTATGAGCATGTCATGAAACTCCGCCAGGCCGCCCTGAAGGCAGCACGGGACATGTGGGCGGACTACATCCTGGTGAGTGCTGGGGGCCAGGGCTTGGAGGGGTGGAGGAGGATCCAGAGCAGGAGGATGATGCGGCCCCAGCCCTTTTCATTTTATTTTGAGACAGGGTCTCACTAAGTTGCCCAGGCTGAGCTCAAACTGGTGCTCTTCCTGCCTCAGCCTTGTGAGAGGCTGGGTTGCAGGCAAGCATTACTGACCTGGCAAAAGCACCAGCTCTTTGGGTTTTTTTGGTACGGGGGATTGAACTCAGGTCCTTGTGTTTGCACAGCAGGCGACAAAACCGATGAGCTGCCCAAGAGCACCAGCTCTTAAGTCATCAGGAATGAAAGGAAGCTGGGTGTGGTGGCACAGGCTTGTGGTCCTGCCTAGTGGGCAGGCTGAGGCAGGAGGATCCCCAGTTCCAGGCCAGCCCGGGCAGCTGTGTGAGGCCCTGTCTTGAAACTGATGAATTAAGACTGAGTGGGCTTTGTGTCCTCAGAAGTTGGGCCCTGGGGTTGTGTCTGCTCTTTTCAAAACCATCCGCACTTATGTACAACCTCTGGGACCCCTTGGTGACACCCTTGGGGCCACTTCCGAGAAGCCAGGGGATGAGTTCGGGGCTGGGACAACACGGGTGACACAGACTGGCCAGGCCTGACTTCCCCTTCCTCATCCCTGGCGGGCAGTTCCCTCTGAGAGAAGAGAACTGCTGAGTCTTTTCAATTTTTTTTCCCTTTTTGAGACCGGGTCTCACATGGTTACTCAGTTGCCGGGGCTGGGCTTGAACGTGTGACCCTCCTGCGTCAGCCTTCTGTGTTGCTGGGATGGCAGTTGTGCACCACTGGACTTCTTTGTTCTGTAAGGACAAGGTCGCTGGATTGGCCCCAGTGCCGTCTGGCCTCATCTTAATTCACTGTCCTTCACCTGGGAAGACCTCTTCCAAACCTGCTCACCTGCCGGGTCCTGTGGTGTGAACTGGGCTTTCGGGGCCTCGATTCCCCCACAGCGGTGATGGCCGGGCTAGTATGGGGGACTGCAGACCCCAGAGGACCGGCCTGGGGGTCGGGCCACAGTGTCTTAAGGCACAGGGACAGAGTGGGGAGCAGTGTGGGCTCCGAGGAGGTCGTGAAGTGGAGGGCAGAGGCCCTTGCCCCTGAAGGCACTGGGAGCCATGGAGGATGTGTGAGCAGGCAGGGCTCTAACCTGTGGTTTTCAGCAGCCCTCGTGGGCCCAGGGTGGAGGCCAGGACAGCACTGAACGTTGATGAAGTGGAGAGGGCAGGCGGGTTCAGGACCTGTTGTGCAGCAGAACGGGGAAACATTGGTTGTGGGTGGGGAGGAAGAATTGACTAGGATCCTCCCAGAGCCCTGCTACCTTGTCAGACCGTTTTATGGATGAGAAAGCAGAAGGGTAAGATGAGAAGGCAGTGACAGTGTGTCCAGAGGGCCCCTCGAAACACACCCCAGGCCCAGAGGTGGACGGCACCTTTTGGAACTTCTGGCATCTTCTGGAACTTTCCAAAATCTTGCAGAACCTTCTGGCACAGAGCTGCTGTGTCCTTTTTTGGTTTTTGCTTCTGTGGTTGGAGGTTTGCTGGCTTTCACTTTTTTCACTCAGCAAACCCGAGTGCAACTCAAGATGCTGGCTGAAACTCAAAGCAGCTTTTGACACAGATTATATTTCTGTAGGGAGTTGGGAGGACCATACTGGAATGTGAAATGGTTTGTCTGCTGTTTTAAAAATTATTGGAAAAAAAGGCCTCTTTTTCCCCCTTTTACAAAAGTTATGCATGTTATTGGGCTGAAAAAAATGCAAGAAAATAGTAAGAAACTCATGGCCTTAGTCTTGCCTCCCAGAGAGATCCACTTTGTAGCTGCGTGTGCTCTGATTGAGGTGTAATTTCTATAACATAAAATTAACAGTGCAGAGTGTGCAGTGCAGGAAGACCGAGTGGTCATTATGTTGTACAACAGTTAGCTGTGCGTCGTTCCAGACCGTTTCCGTCCCCTTAAATGACACCTGTCCTGTGAGCCAGCCCTCCCTCCCAGCCCCTCCGGCCACCACTCTGTTTCCTGTCGCTGTGTAAGTCACCTGTTGCGGACATGTCATTAATGTAATTTGTTTTTGGTACCAGGGATCAAACTCAGGACCTTGCACTTGCCAGGCAGGTGCGGAGCCACTGAGCTACATCCCCAGGCCCTCTGACCTGGACATTTCATACCAGTGTCACATGGCTCTTATGCCTGGGTGCTGTCACTTGCCTTGCCTTTCTTTCCTTTCCTTTCTTCCCCTTTCCATTTTTTTCAGACAGGGTCTTGCCATGTAGTCAGGTTGGCCCTGAATTCATCGTGATCTTCTTGCCTCAGCCTCCTGAGTGCTGGGATGATAGGTGTACACCATCATAGCCAGCATCGCATTGTGTTTTTCAAGTTCCTTTCACATTGTAGTGTGTCTATCTAGGCCTTACTCCTTTTCATGGCTGAGTAATATTCCGCTGTGTGGGTGGACCCCACTGTGTTCACCTGTCTGCTGCTGGGCATGTGGGTGTCTCCACTGTCTGGCTGTTGGGAATGGTGCAGGTGCCCATTTTGAGTCTGCTCTGAATTCTCCTGGGTTTGTGTCTAGGTGTGGAGCTGCTGGGTCCCACTAGGCTGTCCTGCTGCCTACACTGCATGTGCAGGTGGGGGTCCCTGAGCGGATGTCTGCTGTGGCTGGGTGCGGCATGCAGTGCGGGCACGCGTCTGGCCCCAGGCCACCTCTGTCTGGGCACAGCTGCCATGGGGAGGGAATTGGAGCTTCGGGTGTCGCCTGTGGCAGTGGACCAAACCTGCTGAAGACCCCACGTGGGCAGCAGAGCTCAGGTCTTCCCTGTGACGTATTCAAACCTAACCCGACCCAGCCCAGTGTTCCAGAGCCGGGCCTCGGGGTGTCGGGTATGCGAGGCCCAGCAAGCTGTCCCAGGGAGGGACCGGCCCTGAGCACAGAAGTCCTGACGGGGATCTGCGTGTCTTTGGTATTGTGTGCTCGTGGCAGGGCTCGGGGTCTAGATTGCTCCCCTTGTCAGCACGGAGAGGGTGCGAGGCTTGGAGCCCTGGGCTTCGGGCTTGGGCGGGAGCTGCTCGGCCTGTGGCTGTTTCTCGAGCTGCGTGCTCTCTCCTGGCGGCCTAAGTGTGTCCTGCAGTGGCTTTTGTGACTTTTGGTTTTCCGGAGCCCAGGGCTTCACCCTGTGCTGCGCCGTGGCCCTTGCCCTGCTTGCTGTTCAGACGCGGGGCCTCCTGGACCGTGCAGAGCTCGCGACCGTCCTGCCTCAGCCCCCTGGGTAGCCGGCACCTTGAACGTTTGTGCGAATGCTGGGGTGCAGCGCTGGTGGGACGTGGGGAGGTCCCGGGGTCTCTGGCCCCCATGCTGATGCACGTGGCCCCCGCAGTTTGTGGATGCCGACAACCTCCTGCTGAACCCTGACACGCTGAGCCTGCTCATCGCGGAGAACCGGACGGTGGTGGCGCCCATGCTGGACTCGCGGGCGGCCTACTCCAACTTCTGGTGCGGCATGACGCCCCAGGTAGGCACGGGCCGGGAGGGCCAGACCCTGCCTGGACGGGACGCACTGCAGGCCTGCTAGCTGGCCCAGGACACCGTCCTGCCCTCTCACTGCCACGTTTCCGCTCTGGCCGTGCTGGGGTGGCACCAGGGCCTCACCCATGCTAGGCAAGTGCTCACCTCCAGCCCGCCTTGACTCAGCGTCCTGAGTGCTGGGGTGACCTTCCCAGCTGTTGAAAGTCACCCTTCCTGCCCTGCCTTCGGGGCGGCCCTAGGACCTTGGGGACCCAGGCTGAGCTGTGCCCCTCCCCCAGGGCTACTACAGGCGCACGCCGGCCTACATCCCCATCCGCAAGCGGGAGCGCCAGGGCTGCTTCGCCGTCCCCATGGTGCATTCCACCTTCCTGCTGGACCTGCGCAAGGCGGCGTCCCGGAGCCTGGCCTTCTACCCACCCCACCCCGACTACACGTGGGCCTTCGACGACATCATCGTCTTCGCCTTCTCCTGCAAGCAGGCCGGTGGGTGTCTCGTGGGTGTGGGGCCGACGTCTGCCTGCAGGCTCTCCGAGGCCCTGCTCCCAGCTTGAGGACCTGCCTAGTGCGTCCGCTCCCGTCACCGTTCCCTGCCCGCCTCCCGGGCTCCGGTGACGGCTTCTAGGAGCTCTCTGCAGCTGTCCTTGTTCTGCAGGAGGGATTCGCACCAGGGTCCCGGGGGACTGTGGAGTGTAGATGGCCATGGTGGGCACGCCCGTCACCCCAGCACTTGGGAGGCTGAGGCAGGAGGATGCCAAGTTCCAGCCCCCCTGATAACCTGGCAGCTTAGCGACACCCGGCCTTGGAGTGAAAAAGCAAAAGGGCCAGGGCTGCAGCTCAGAGCGAAGGCCCTGGGCACCAGGCCCAGCACGGGGAGGAGGGTGCCAAGCTGTCGGCAGCGGCCCTGGCCTCCCGCACAGTGACAGTAAAGACGGCTGTAAGTCGGGCTCGGCAAGAAGTTGACCGACCCTGGACCGCAAGGCCTGGGGCGAGGACGTCGGCCTAGGAGTTCGCTCTCTGGGACTCCCCTCCTATTCCGAGGCGGTCTGCTGCGGAAACCCGGCTGGGCGGGCTGCTGCGAAGGGGCCTGGAAACCAGGGCCCTGCACGCTGCGTCTTATGTGGCTGTGAAGAGGCGCGCCCGAGCCGGACAGTGCGCTGTGGGAAGGGCAGCTGCGGCTCCTGAGGCCAGCGCGGCGGCACGGATCTCAGGAGGCCAGGGAACAGGATCTCGAGTTCCAGGCCGGCCTAAGCAGCGTGGCAGGACCCCAGTTCAAAAGAGAGCCGAAAACAGACAGACTGCAAAGGGCCGCCCGTGGGAGCAGGGCCGCAGGGGCAGCAGGGCGGCTTGTCTGTGGCTCCCAGGTGCGGTGCGGTCCTGGGAGCTGAGCTCAGGGCACCGAGCCGCACCCCAGCCCTCTTGTCCTGTGAATAGGGCCTGGCTCAGTTGGGACACCTGCCCGCCTCGGCCTCCCAGGCGCACACCCCGGCGCCCGGCTGTGGCTTGACCCGTCTGTCCCTCTCGTCCCCGGGGCCCTCACCCGCTGCAGGGGTGCAGATGTACGTGTGCAACAAGCAGGTGTATGGCTTCCTGCCGGTGCCGCTGCGGGTGCACAGCTCGCTGCAGGATGAGGCCGAGAGCTTCCTGCACGTCCAGCTGGAGGTGATGGGTGAGTGGGCGGCGACTCGCGCCCCTGCGGTGGGGAGGAGCTCGGGGCCTCCCTGTTCCGCGCGGCTCCCTCTGGTGGCTGCAGGTGGAACCGCGCCTGCCCTCTGCCCGGCGCGCTTTGGCCTTTCCGGTCTGCCTCCTCAACCTAACCCCAGCCCCAACCGGTAGACCCTGAACTGTGGACCCTCGCCCCAACCCCGCGCTGGCTTCGCTCTTGGACGGTGGCAGGAGGCCCGGAGCGTCACCATGTCCGCCACAGGGCTCCTTTTTCCTTTTTCGAGACAAGGTCTCACAATGGCTGGCCTCAAAATCACACCAACCCTCCCGCCCCAGCCTCCCGAGTGCAGGGATGACAAGTGTGTCCCACCACACTCAGACCCTTTCTGTGGAGAAAATGATTCAGACGCTTGGTGTTAAAGCTCAGACACGCGGTGGGTGTCATGGTGCATGCCTGTTATCCCAGCACTTGGGAGGCTGAGGCAGGAGGATCACACACATGAGGCCAGCCTCGGCAGTTCAGCAACTTAGTGAGATCCTGTCTCAAAATAAAAAATCAGAGAGGGCTGAGAATGTAACTGCATGGGAGAGCACCCTGAGTTTGAGTCCCAGTGCTGCAGAGATGCCTGCTTTGACACTTGCTGTGGCCTGGCCTCTGTCCCTACAAACCTGGCCCCTCTGTTCCTGTGGCTGCCCCGAATGCTCCCAGACGGTGGGGCCTGGGTCGGGCTCTTGTCCTGCAGTGGGGATGGTCAGACCCCATCTCCTTCCTCCTGGGCCAGAGAGGTTGGAGAGCCAGGAGCTGTCTCGGTCCCTGGGGCCTGGCAGCAGAGGTCTGAGGGAGAAGGCAGGAGCCCAGCATGTACAAAGGTCCGGGGGTAGCGCTGGGTCGGTGGGGAGCTCATCACTGGGGCAAGGTGGGGAGGAGTGGAAGGGCCCGGCCGTGACCCCGGCTTCTCTGCCCGCAGTGAAGCATCCGCCCGTGGAGACCTCGCGCTTCATCCCAGCACCCACCAGGACTCCCGACAAGATGGGCTTCGACGAGGTGGGCGCCAGGGCGCGTGGGGGCGGGAGCCGGGGCTGGAGCGGGCCCACCGAGCTCGGCTGCGCTGCAGGTCTTCCTGATCAACCTGAGGCGGCGCCAGGACCGGCGGGCGCGCATGCTGCGGGCGCTGCGGGAGCAGGGGATCGTGGCCCGGCTGGTAGAGGCCGTGGATGGCAAGTGAGTCCGCGCCTGGATGGCCGGCTGCGGGCGGGCAGTGAGTGGCGCAGGGGCGGGGCCGCAGCCTGCAGGGCGCCTGGACTCAGTGCCGCCGCCCCGCAGGGCCATGAACAGCAGCCAGGTGGAGGCGCTGGGCGTCCAGATGCTGCCTGGCTACCGGGACCCCTACCACGGCCGGCCGCTCACCAAGGGCGAGCTGGGCTGCTTCCTGAGCCACTTCCGCATCTGGACGGAGGTGGGCACCGGGCGGGCATGTGGGGAAACTGAGGCTGGGCCGAGGGCCGGGCCTGGGCTGGGTGAACCGGGATGCCCCACGGTGTTCCTCACCAGCCTAGGGCAGGCGGGGAGCAGTGGCTGCGCCCAAGGCTGGGCCCGGTCTCAGGGGCGGGCCGTCCCCCAGATCGTGGACCGGGGGCTGCAGAAGTCGCTGGTGTTCGAGGATGACCTGCGCTTTGAGGTCTTCTTCAAGAGGCGCTTGATGAATCTCATGCAGGACGTGGAGCAGGAGGGCCTGGACTGGGACCTCATGTGAGTGGGCGTGGCCGGCGGGTGTGGTCTCGGCTGGGTGGGGCCGGAGCCCAGGGCGTGGTCAGGAGCCTGGCTTCCTATAGGTGAGGGGTGTGTGGCCGTGATGGTGGGCGTGGCCTGCTGGGCCCTGGAGGCCTAGGGACCTGGTAGGGCGGCAGAATAGATGGCTCCTGAGGAGGTGGGCGTGTCGGGGTCTGAGTGGGTGTGAGCGCCGTGCGTGCAGAGCTGGGGGCGTGGCTCAAGAGCGAGCAAGGTGGGGCAAGGCGGGGCTCTGCTTCCGAGGTGGCCTTGGGGATCCCCTGAGGTGGGCTGGCTGGGCCTGTGCTCCCCTCCTCTCTCCTCTCCCAGCAAGTGCAGGCCTGCTCCCGGCTATGTTGCTGATAGGAGTCCCTGCCTGCCTTCATTCCGAGGCCCCTTGCTCGGCGCAGTGCAGCTTTAGCCCCAGGAGTGGACCTGCCCTTCCCGGGTCTGACACCTCCCATAGCTCCCTAGTACCCTTGGGAAGAACTCCCGGGAGCCGTGTGGCCCTGCTTCACCCCACCCAGTCCAGTGGTCTCCTCATTGCTCAGCCAAAGCGCTGAGCCTGCCGCTGGGCCCCGGCCGTTTGGGGGGACTCCCTGAGGGAGGAGGGCGCGTGACGGGGCCCTGCTTCTGCGCCCCAGCTACGTGGGCCGGAAGCGGATGCAGGTGGAGCACCCCGAGAAGGCCGTGCCCCGCGTGCGGAACCTGGTGGAGGCCGACTACTCCTACTGGACGTTGGCCTACGCGATGTCCCTGCAAGGCGCCCGCAAGCTGCTGGCGGCCGAGCCACTGGCCAAGATGCTGCCGGTCGACGAGTTCCTGCCGGTCATGTTCGACAAGCACCCGGTGTACGCCCGGGTCTGCCCCGGGGCGGGCGAGGGGCTCCGGCAGGGCCGCCCCGCTTGTCCTCTGCGCTCACCGCCATCCCTGCCCCCAGCTCCGAATACAGGGCGCACTTCTCGCCCCGGGACCTGCGCGCCTTCTCCGTGGAGCCCCTGCTCATCTACCCCACGCACTACACGGGGGACGACGGCTACGTGAGCGACACGGAGACCTCAGTGGTGTGGAACAACGAGCGCGTGAAGACGGACTGGGACCGCGCCAAGTCCCAGAAGATGCGGCGGCAGCAGGCGCTGAGCCGCGAGGCCGAGAACGCGGACGTGCTGCAGTCCCCGCTGGACAGCGCCGCGCGGGACGAGCTCTGAGCCCTCCGCACCCAGAGCTCGTGCTGGTCGGGCTCGCGGTCAGGCACCGGGGACGCTCAGTTGTCTTCAGAGCCCACGTATGTATTGGGGGCTTTGGGGCCGCCCTTCTGGGTTCTGCGGATGGAGCCCGCGCTTCCGTGTGCTCCTGAGACAGCTCCAGCACCCGCCCCTGCCGTGCGCCGGTGCCCACGCGGGGAGACTCCCAACTCGAGGCGTCTGGAGGGAGCCGCTGCGTGTCGGGGCCGGCTCAGGTGAGGCCTCTGCCCAGTGGGGCCTTGGGAGGCTGGGCCACGCTGGGTGCTGTCCCCGCCTGGGGTCCCCGCAGGCAGATGGGACGTCAGAGCCTTCGAGGCCCCATGCCCGGACTGCTGGAGCCTGGATGACTTGCTGTAGGGAACAGGGGAAGGGGACGTTACCAGAACCTGTGCAGTGAGTCCTAGTCTCCTGCGAGCCACGGCAGCACACGGCAAATTACAGGAAAGGTAAGAAAATGAGACTGAGAAGCTGAGCCTTGGGTGTGATCAGTGCTGCTCTGGGCGGCAAAGACAAGAAGCCCCCCTAGCTTGCAGCACCTTTTATTCAGTACTCAGTACATTGGGAGAAACAAATGTAACAAGTGAAATATAGAGTTCAGTACCTCACATTGGGATAAACAAGGGGTAACAAAAGGCTGGGGGCCATGGAAATCTAAGAGATGAAGATTTGCTTCCTCCCTGGCATCTCCCGCAGGTGATTACAGCATCCGGGGATCACTGAGGTCCCAGCTGTGGCCAGAGGCCAAAATGCAATTATGTCTGGAATGTCCTAGCTGGGCTGTAGGCAGGAGAGCTAGGCCTACTCGAGTGATTTTTCCCTAAAATTATGTAGCATTGCTCCCGACATATCTCCCTTTTGGTTTTATGGGAAGGTGTTTTTAGGAAAAGTGAGCACATCCAACAATAGCTTGACCCTATATATTGTGAGGGTCTATAGTGTTTGACTGGCTTAGCTGTCTATAAGCATAATTTCTATTAATTGGGGCTGTAAAAGGATGAAAAAATCAAATAATAAATTAATTTTTTTAAAACAGTGTTGGCTAAAAAAACCCTTAAAACTTTTGCTGAACTCAAATAGCTATTGTCTTATATAGTTATATTTTTCTACTGGATGTTCAAGACCAAGTTACAGTGAGATCTATATTAAATAAAGTCAATCTCTTGTTATCTAACAAGGTCAATTAAGTCTCCACAGGCACTGTCTTGGAACCATGCATAGAGCCTCTTAGCTCTTCTGTCAGGGTCAGCCATCAGGATATGTCATGGCCTTGCTTGACCATGTTGCTTCCTGTGAAAGCATGGGAGATTTTTTCCTCCAGGTGACATTCCTTTGGCACACTTTTTGTTGGATCTTTACTGTTTTGGTTTTCAGCAACCTCCCTGGCTCAGGAGTTTGGGTGACTCACCAAAAATGCAGGATCTTGGAGATGGTTCCCTCATGTCCTGGATCTTATTGTTGTAGTTGACCTTGGAGGGCCAGGGCCAAAATATTGGCTGCCTTTTTAGCCCAGATACCTCTTCAGTTTTGGTCTCTAAACTTTGGTTGTTGAACACCCAGAAGAGAAGATCAATAACGTTAGCATTGTAAGAGGAGTAGTGAACTCAACTATTATAATTTTACCTGGATAAGCATTTTGGAATAAAAATATAGTTAAACTGTTATTATTGCCAATGATAGTTGGTGTTGTGGCTGGATCCCTGAGTAGCTATCTTTTTATAGGACGTCATCTAAGGAAAATAAATCAGCATACAAGTGTGCCTATTATCATAGGTGGCTGGAGCATAAGAGAAGGGCAAATATCTGAATCAAAAGGTTATTACCATAAACAATGTTAGAAGACCCATACAATTAGAGGGCATGAATACATTTTGTACACCAGAAAAGGAGCAGTAATAAATATTATAGTTATATAAAACATTATGTTCTTCAATGTAGTTTGGTACCAAAAGCATCTTTGCAATAACTCTTTTGTTTATACCACAGAAGTTAATCTTTTGAAGATGACCGATGTAGACATACCACAATAACAATATTGAGTGTTTAAATGTCAATGATAACCAATGTAATTAATTTATAACATATTTAGAATTTAAACTTCAATGATAACCAATGTAATCAATTTATAA